TTTAGTTCACCACATCTCCTGTACTGTCCTTTTTTTTACTGAAATTCTTGGTAACTCCCACCCTGGGTAATTTCCATCAGCTTTCTCACATGGCAGCCCTGGTAGCACTCATTCCTGGTGCCTTTCCCTGATAGCTTTAGGGTGTTGTGGTTCATTAGCCCGTAATGTAATTGCCTACTTTTGTTTACAAAACAGTATTTTGGATCTGCTTGCATTTGATGAGTGTATGCTCTGTTAATGTTGCTTTAAAAAATATCTCCCTTTAATAAGATGAATGTGGAGTGGCTTGCAGGCTGTGGTGTGTGCAGAGGGGGAGATGTGAGCCAAGTTCCTGATGAAAGTGGTCGACAGTGCTTTTATGAGTTTTTCTGTTATTGCTAGAGATAATGTACCACTTGGTGACTCAGGCTTTCTGCTTGTAATAATTTTTCTTATTGATGGGGAAAACCAGCTTTAAATTATTCCACATATCAATGGTCGCATGCATCAAAAACAAGCAAAAAATGCTAATGGCCTCAATCCATGAATATCCAGAAGGCATAAAGCTTTTGTAGTATAAATATATCATTTAATGAAAATATTGAAAAGAGGTGCATTTCCATGAATTTCATTTTTCGGAATGTTATTTTCAATAGATGAATTCATTGCTTTACCAACAGGTATTTCTTCTTCTCAATCCTTTTCCATACATACAGCCATGTTATAAACCTTTGCTAATGAACAGGACAGCATTCACACAGGTTATCCCCATATGCCATAGCGATGAATTGCTGTTAAGCGTGGATTTGACCTTAATTCCTTCTGTGCTTCAGGAGGCACCGCTCAATAGAGGGGTCTTTTTGTAGTGTTTGTTTTGGAGAGCCTGAAAAAAAAAGCAAAACACAAACTGTCCATTTCTACTAACTTGACTGTGAAAAATCACAGATTTTTTCATTACAAAACTGGTGTCAGTTTGCTCTGAAGTATAATAAATCTTCTAATGTATAATGTAGATAAGTCTGTGTTTTCTCATTCTTTCGCCTGCACAAGCAACTTGCATCATGCATCAACACAGACACTCTTGAATAGGAGGTATTCACTGCTTTGTTGCTGTGTAATAAGACTAAATTCAATAGTGCTTGGAGTGTTTTGAAGTCCTCCTGTGGAAGAGGCTCTTTCATTTGCTCCCAGGAGTTGCCACAATGAGCTAATCGCTATATAAACTTACTTGTCTTCCAAATTAGCAGGAGCTGAACAATCCACTTCTTTCAGTGAGTGAAAACATCAGGCGTGTGAAAGATAGATCAGCCATCCACTCCTGTAAGATATTAACTTTGTTATCCAGAATCCCTTTTGATGTGAATTGTTAAGATCAACAATTAATGCACTATTTTCTCCCCAGAGAAGAGGCGCACACTGTGCAGTTTCCCTGGAGCAGCAGACAAGTGCTCTCACTGACTGCCTTGCTCTTCGTGGTTTTTTTTTCCTCTCTGCCATTACCTCTTGTTTCCCCATTTAAGAAAAGATGCAAATGAGTTATTACTATTATTCTTTTCTTCTTAAATGCTCTTAAGTCTAGGCATGGAACATGCTGTGATGGAAACATTAAATGTCTGTTATTTTTACATGTAAAAAGTGTCTGTGTAACACAGCTCTTAAACAGCTTAACAAATCCGATACCTTATGGGACTCTGACCATGCATGAAAGATTCAAACCACACAAGGAAAAAAGATAAGTAAAGCAGATTGTAAATGGCGTATGGTGTTATCATCCATCACTAAAACCTTTTTCCTGTATAATATCATTCTTCATACCCAGTTCACTCAGTGATACAGTAATTTCAGCATTTACAGCCTTACATGCCTTGTTTTGTTTTGTTGCTGCTTGTTATGATATCCCAGCTGTGACAGCAGGGAGTGCATATAGCAGGTATAAATAAGTTGCTTCTTAAGGCTTATATAAAATGTTCTCTCGGAGAAGTGATGAAAGCAGTATTATTTATTTAAAACTTGACAAGAATTTGGGAGATGAGTTGAAATAGAGTACAATAAGAATTTTCTGCTCTTATTTCTGTTGTTGTATTTGAATTATCCCTTGCTCTGTCTTTCTGCATTTCAGTGACCAGTTTTAGGAAGACATCTGAGCAAACCTATCTCCATCTGGGTAGGGTCCTGAACTGGAGTCATCCTGTTAGCCTTTTGTCAGAGAAGAGAATTCATGTTGAACAGAATCAAACTGAAATAGCAGCAAGCAAAAATGTTCTTGCTCTTTGCACATTTTCGGTATCAGAAGCAACAGAAACAAATGTCTCTTGATGTTGGAGCAGTTTTTAGCTCTGATGGTGTCAAAAGCAGACTGCTGTGGCTGTTAGGCTGAAATGTAGTGGGATGTTGATAAGACATTGTAACAAACTGCAAAAGGCTACAAATGCTGTTGCATTCATATTTCTCCCTGGCAGCTGCAGTGGCTGCTACATATGTTTCCCTAAGTAGTGAATTAGTAAATGGGCCGAATCACTTTTTGAATCTCTTCCCTGTCTCTCTAGGGAAATGAGTTAAGGATGTGTAGAGGAACGTTGCAAATAATCTTCTTTAGGAGTTGGGGGGGGGGGGGGGTAGCTTAATTCAAGCTACTTTTGAAAAAAAGAATAAAACAAGTTTTAGGCCATTATCATGTGTGTAGGCAGGCTGTAGTTAGAAAATGTTGTTTATTAGCCCTAACGTGTCAGATTTGAAAAATTAAGCAATATGAAGATAAGAGATGCTCTACCTTGCATGATAACATCAAGCTTGGTAAGTGCCAGAAATGCAGAGGGAAAGGCAAATCTATCAGAGCAGACAGCACAGCATACCAGCAGGGCAGGGGAGGGGAAAGCAGACAGGAGAACATGAAAGAAGTAGGCTATGGAGAGACAAAAGTCATTCTCGTGTGAAAACATGAAGCAAAACCAGAGAGGTAATGTGCAATTCAAGTTCTGAACTCAAATGCAACTTTCTTCCTCTGGGTCTGTGGGGTAAATGTAACATTTGTGTCCACCTCTGTTATAAAGGTCTTTTGGATAGCTTTATTCAGATGGTGGAGTTTGGTAGAAATCATCAAAATCTGGAGTGTAAGTATTTATATACGAATACTTATAATCTCACAATATAGGATTAATTTTTTTGTACTAAACTTTTCACAGGAAGACACAGAACTATCATGTTTTTCCTGATTTTTATTGAGTTCTATTACTGCAGTGGTATAAGTGAACAGAAGTATTAGTATAGCATCTAAACCATAATTTAAGCATTAAATTCCCTTTGGAGCAAGAGGAAATGCTAAAATAAAGTCTTTATACATTGTAGTAGTTACCACACTTGCTAATGAACTGCAGCTGCTTGCAGAGATGCAGAGTAGCACTGCAAGTATCCTGAAGCTGGTTAGGATAAGTATGGAAATAACTTATTATAGTGAGGCAAGTAGAAGGAAAACATCAAAGTAGGGAAGGATATGTTGGTTTGTCCAAAGTACTTTGGCTTGGAAAGTAACCATAATGGATTAATGTAATTTGTCCCCAGAAAACTATACTAGAGTGCTATTTAGATGTTGCTTTTTGTTAATTTAAAACTATTTCGTGTGATTTTTATTGGGGGCCACAGTTTAAGAGATCTGGCCTTGCCTTGATGATGTCAGTGTGTAGCACGTCACAAAAGGGTAGCAATGAGATCTCACTATGTGAACTTCTTTATGAAGTTAGAATTGCTTATTTTTAAGACTGTATTATTTTTGTCCTGGCTAGGAAAGTGTTCCTTCAGATGCTATATGATGGCTTTTTTTTTTTTTTTTAATATGCTGTATGTTTTTAATAAATTCTGCTCACTAGCATTCATCTCTTTTTATTGTAAGTTAGCTTGTTAATTTGATGAAGAGTCTGTCAGCATTTTGTGTGTTTTGTTCCACTGTGCTCTTTAAAAATCCCTTGCCACGTTGTGTATTATATAGTATTATTTAGTCATTTGTGGCTTGAAACATTGCCTAAGTGTTAACTTGTGTTTCCCTGTTTTCAGTCTGTAGCTTTTTATGTCTGACAACTCAACTCTTGCAGCAACAGCGTAGAGTTCCTTCTATGCATTGAAAAAAACACCAACATTTAAAAATATGATCTGCCACCATTTTATTGCACAATTGATAGATTTGCTTTGGAGTGTTGCAGTGTTTCATTTGACTTGCTAGCTGTTTTTCAGACATGAGGTTTTTATATAAATTTCAACATGCTTTTGCCTTCCACAGCTGATCACTTTTTGGAAAAGTCACTGTGGAAGGTTTCTGGCTGAATTCCACATTTAGAAGAGCCTTCAAAAAAGTCCTTTTCATTGTGCTAATATGAAGCCAAAGGTTGTAGGGACTCTGTTGCTTGGAAGTAGTATTTCTATGTTGTCACCAGTCTTATCTGTTACATCTCAGTGAGTGCGAAAAATGAGAAGAATCTGTATTTCCTTGGCTGCTTCAACAGTTTGTTGAGAGCGGCCAGATTGCTGCAGATGATGATTCTCTTGGAAACCTCAACAGCCCGACCTCCTCTGTAGGCAGAGTATTTTGCTGAAGTGTTTTGGTTTTGAATCGGACATAAGTAATTTAAGTTCTCTGTTGGAATTTATGCAGGCAAGGGGTCAGGTTTAAAAAGCTTGTAGTTTAAAGCGTTTCTGCTACTACACCTTTTCTACTCTAATATCCTATTATATGTTTTTCTTTTCCTGCAAATGAAGTCCTTTTTATTCCCTCTTCCTTTCTGGCTTTGAAGAGAACATTTGCTTCTCCATTTATCTGAGGTAATTAGAACAGAATAGCCCTGGATTCTTTAAATCAGTTTAATTGGGCTTTTAAAAAATGTATTGAATATTCTGTTTTCTGCACAGAATTTTCATTTGATTGCGAAGCCGCTCTATCTCAAGAGCCCAACGTCTTACATGCTATTTATTTCTTTATTTTTAAAAGAGGCGATTGTCATCCAAACGGCCTTCATCTCTATTCTCTGTTCCAGGCTGATTCATGGAGGGCAGCTGTTAAATGGCTTGGCGGGGCCAACTGTGATGAACGCAGCCCCGTTTCTTTCCACAACGTGGTTCTCTCCAGACGAACGTGCGACAGCAACGGCGATTGCCTCCCTGCTCAATTACCTGGGCTGTGCTGGCGCCTTTTTAGTGGGACCTCTTGTGGTGCCATCTCCTAATGGAACCTCGCACCTCCCGCTGTTGTCACAGAGCAGCACCGAGCACATCAAGGACCGCATTGAGGCTGTGCTCTATGCAGGTGTGTTTTCTTTTAATTAAGAAAAAAAGTTATTAATTATAAAACATTTACATATTCCCGTGTGTTTGGTGCTTGTGAAGCACTACCCTCTAGTGGCTGGACTGCCAAGGGAACAGCAGCTAACTGATGGGAAGTAACAAAGTGGTGAGATGTTCTAGTATCAGAAGGGTTACTTTTTTCCCTTTTATTTTATTTTATTTTATTTTATCTTTTAAGGATAAAATTTAAAATAGTGTCATATACAGATTGATTCCAAGGGAAGTAGTTCAACTGTTTGTATTAGGAGAAGCATCTTCTAGGAGAGCTTATACTTTCCCAGAGATTCCAAACTGTTGTTCGCTTCTCATATTTTCAGTAAAAAATTCTCCGTGGCAGGTTGTTTTTTCTTTTATTTCTGGGAGGATGGAAATGTTATTCTTCCAGCACTGAATATTTTGTGCATAAATTCAGCCTTAATTTATGTCTAGCGTATGCCTTTCGAATGTGATTAGATTATTAGTATCTAGGAATCTAACACTGGAATTAAACTCAATAGATTTTGATTTTAACTAAAACCACCTAATTCTTATGCATCAAGCAGTTTCAATGAAACGACAACAGTTTGGTGCAAAAAATGCTGATAGAAAATTCATCTGATACAGTATAGATTTTGTTTCCCTTCTGTTTTTTATGCAATGACTTCACTGCTCTTGGTGTTATATAGAAAAATTAGCTGTATTCGGCAGCAGACTGTAAGGGTTGCCCAAATGGCTTAAGAGTCTATGATCTGTTTTTTTTTTTTTTTTTTTTTTAAATGAGTATAAATGGCATGGCATTAAGAGCTGCTGGACATGCCAGGACTCAGCCCTCTGCATTCCAGAAGTATTGAAGTTTATATGCTGTGTAGTTTATATTTAGGTTTATGAGATTGAATTAATTGTTTGTGATCACTTATTCTTGGCTGTGATTCTTTCGGAAATTTTATCAATTGTCATTTTTGGGTGAGGTCCACTTTACCATTCATTTTAAAGAATGTGTAGTAGATGTTGGATTAATATGTTATCAAGTATTAGACTCTTTCAAATAACCTACTTGTTATTGGACTCAAATCTATTTGAAATAAGGACGCTGGGGTTTGGATAGGCCTTTTCAGAGCTAAATGTTTTGGTAGAGGCCAATAGAAAAGAAATAAGAAAAATAAGAAAATAAGAGACCAGTGGGAAGGAGGGGAAAGCGAACACCAAGTTGGTTTGGATTCGGAGGGAGTTGGTTTGGATAGAGGGGAGCAAAAATGTAGTGATTAGAAAAGGTCTTTAGCCTGTTCCTTTTTCCATGGAGAAGAGTTTGATGGCCTGAAGGAATTATGGTTTTGTGCCTAAAACCATTTATTTGAGTCTGTTAGCACAAGAAATGCCATTTTCAGCAGCCTGTTGGATTCACTTCTCTTCTGTTCTTTTCTGGGAGGCTTTCCAGGGCGTTTTATTCAAATGCGAGGATAGATATCTCTTGCTAGCTGGGTCCAGAGATCTGTCTTGTCTGCCCAGTGTTTCAGCACAGCTTTTTCTGCCTTTGAGTCATCCAGGGCTTGGCAACAGCCCACCCTGTAAGCTTGCTTGGGATTATTGGTCCCAGTTGAAGATCATCCTTGCAGCAGCTCTTCAGATTCCTAAGATACGTTTTTTTTGGGGGGGGAGGGGGGAAGAAGGGGAGGGGGGTATCTGTAGTTCTTACTTTGTTCAAAGTACTTTTAAATAGTTAGCCGGGTTTCTTTCTATGCTTGCAGTGTTAGTGATGTGTCTTATGGGGTCTTTCCAGGATCTAAAATTCCTTTTGCTCTTCAGGCAATGAAAAAGGGATGGGTCCTGAATGTTAGTGGCCTCTAGAGGATCACAGTGACAAAACAGTCACTGGTTTGAAATGGGCAGAAGCTATCCCAGGAGGTGATTGTCTTGCGTCTCTCATGACGTTTGTCTTGTCTCAACTCGACCCACTTTCCATAGAGAGCTCAGGAGGCAGCAGACCATGCTATTTGTCCCTTCTGTGGAGTTGGACTCAAGTGTCACAGTTCTTTAGCAAGTACATTAGTAGGGCTTGATCTGGCTTTTTCCTATAGGATCTTAAACTAGTTTCACAGGATAGGAACTGCATTTTTCAGTATTGTGATGGAGCTTGTTGTCGTTGCATGAGGTAGCATTACATGAGTAGCATCCAAAATGTAGTTGATGATTTTTAAAACCCTAGTGATGTGAATTGTTAACTTGGGATCAGTTGCATGCCAAGAACGTGCTGATTTTCCAATGACTTAATCTCAAACGTGATTATGAAGCAGTTGCTTATAAATCTATTTTGAAATTGCTCCTGTATTTTCTATATTTTATTGAATTGCTGTTCCTGTATCTCAAACGTAGTCTAAGAACTTGGCTGAAATATCACAGTCTCTTTCTGTGTCCTCTGTCTCTACACGCTCTGGTTCACAGCTGGAATAATATAGATTTAGCAGATCAGGATTGCTTTGTATACTTGTGTTGCACAAGGAAATGGTAATCCTTATAGGCTCTAGACCGAGGTTTTAGCTGTGTACTTTCCTAAATATTGAAGAGAAATTATTATTAGTTTCAAAAATGCGTATTAAACATATATAGGCATGCATAAAGTATATACGCATATGTGTGTATGTCTATGTAAATTTATACATGAAATGTAGTGGTAAAAGAAGAATGCTCCACGTGTGTTTGTGTATTTATGCGTATATGTGTGTGAAATGCCCTCCTTTCCCTGTTACATTTCAGAAAGTAAAGGGTGTGGGTCTTGATTTGAGGTAGGTTTTTGCCCTGTAAGTAGTCTTTTGAAAGTAAGAAGAATATGTATTGAGGAGGCTTGTGCATCTGTAAAGTTTTCTGCTCAGAGTTTACACAACCAGGGGGAGTGCCTGCTTTCTGGACTAAGATGCAGGCTTCTCTCAATGTTGATATATGCAGGTATCATGGCAGTGGCTCCTTTGGTCTCAAAATGTAAGAAATAGGTCAGTGTTATCTTTTACTTCCTTTTGTTCCTTCCTTGCAATCTATTCTAACTGGTCTGGTGTAGTAAATGATGATGTAATGACACTGAGCTACCCAATAAAGAATCTGTGCAAGATGTAATAAATCAGATGCATCCGATTGTACCTGAAATTTCAGGAGAGATGCAAAGATGATACACAAAGCTAAAGATGGCAGTAAAGACTTCTGTTCTTCAGTAGAGGGTATTGCTTGTGTTTTGGACAGGTTCCAGAGTGAATTTTGCTCTTTTGTTTTGTGCATGGGGGCAGTGCTTGCAAGGCAAATTCATTAGGCTAGGAAGTATAACACCGGGACACATTAAAGAGTTGCAAGACAGTACAGCAAGGACTACATGCTGAACTTAATAATGGGAGAAAAAAATGAAGTGCTACCTTACTGCTCCTGCTGCAGCAATTTGACTGGCATGAATCTTGAGGTAAGCGTTAGAAGAGGCCCCAGATGAGTACCTGTTCTAAAATATTACCATGTCTTTAAAAAATTATCAACCTACCTTATATTTTTTCTAGAAAGATACAGCCTTTCCCCTTATGTCATTGCAGTGAAACAAATTTAAATAATATGCACCTTGAACAACTTCTGTTTTTGTGTGACCGCATTCCTGTTGGCTGTACCCATCTGCAAGCTGCTGCCTTCCTCTCATTATGCAATTCAAGTGTGCATATGCATGTTTGTAAGTTGCTCTGAAAGTAATGCTTCCTGTTAATTTCCATGGAATCGACAACTGATACAGAGAGCAAAATAACACTGTTCAATAGAGCAAATTCTCAGTTATGAAACATTATTTTTAAGCATAGTCACCACCATTAGCTATGCATTTTTGCCAGCAACTGACAAAAGTCTGCATGCTACATTTGTCAAAAAAACAAAAAAAAAATAGATGCACCAATGGAGCTGATACACTTGCCACTGCTGAAACATACCACCCACTGCCTCACTGTGCTCACATCCACTGTTTGTCTCTGTAGATGTTCAGCAAGTGCTGATGAATGCCAGTGAATGCAACTTTTTCTGCATGGAGGAATTCATGTGAACTTCCATGTCAGCTGCCATTGTGTCAGGCTGTCCCCTCTGCTGCTATCTGTCATGCGGCAACAAAATGTAACAGAATATTGGTGGGAAGATTCGGCCTTGACTGCCATACCACCAACCTCTGCCTCTGACATCATGGACCAACATGATAAAATAGGAGGCATTCGTTTGAGAGCAACCTTTGTATATATGCATACCTGTATAAAGATGTAGATGCAGGAGGAGGGGTTGAAGAGCTCTTGGCAAGCCTTGCTTTGTCCACTGTCATCTTACAATGGCGGAGCCTATCTCTTTCTTCGATCTGGGATAATTAGTTGTGATGAGTTCTTTATTCACTCGTGTTCTCCAACACAGTGTAATGGAAGGCAGAAATTAATCTGTTTACTGGAGACAAGAAGATTTGTGTTGGAGGCCCTTGACCCTCAAAACCTGTGATTAGACCACAACAGGAAGAAAAGACACTACATAGTTCAAAATGAATCCTCCCATATTTGATCATGGAGGCTGGCAATATCATTCCTCGTATGCCTTCAAAACAAATGTAGGGTCAATTTTTTCTCCACTCTGAACAAGAAACGTTCAATTCCCATCCCAATCTATAGCTGATAGACTTATGGTCTGAGTGTTATTTACTTTTCAGTTTCCTGAGCTTATTTTCTCTTGGTTTAGTGGAAGAACTGGCAAAGTGCCATATTCATATTGATTTATTGAAAAAGGAAAAAGCAGATGTATGTGATTGAATATCCAGCTCTGCTGGAATTTATTTGTGGTGATGGTGAGCACTTCTTTGTAATAAGATCACAGGTTCTTTTAAGATAACACGCTTCAGCTATGCATTTTTCTCTCCAGCAGCAAAGAATCTTGTTTCCAAAGGAGATAGCAAAAGTATTTGGATTGAGGATTGTGGAGTACATGATATATATTGTAAAAGGCCTGTAAAACAAATTGCTTGGACTAAATATGGATTTGTGGAGTTGTTTTTCCTCGTAATGTCTGATCCTGGGTCTTGCTGTGTATTTTCTGCAAAGTGCTCATGACTTTGCAGGTTCAGGTCCAAATTTTTACTATGAATTTTTTGAAGATCTGGAACACCCACTTCTAAACAAGAGGGGCATCCGTGAAGAGCTGTATTCCTTTTTTTTTCTTTTTTTTTTCTTTATTTTTTTTTCTCCTTACTAACTGTGTTCTCTATATTTCTGAGCCATGGCTGCTTCTGTGCTATTATATTTTATTGACATGCAGTACTGTTTGGTCCACAATGCTGCCTTGCTAGACCTTTTATTTGCCTTCCTCATCATGTATATTGAGTACTTATCATTCCACATCCTGGTCTTCCCCATCCCCATTTGTTTAAAGTCTGTAGCATGCTGTTACCTGATATTACACCATTACAAGGAAATGTGGCCAGATCTTCATAATTCTCTTTACAGAGAAAAACCAGCAGCTTTTCTTTTTTTGCTTCCTTGTTCTTAGTTCCTTGTGTGTGAGCCTGTTGCAATTCAGCTCCTATAATCAGAATAGACTGTCAGTATTTCTTTATCACATTAGTTCTCCATCTCCATTTGAAGTCTTGCTTGGGAGGGGAAAAAGAAGTCCTCCTTCAAGTTCTGCAGTCTTGTTGTCAGGAGCAGTAAAGCACTCGGGTAGGATTTATGTATCAGAGGCTGGCTGATAATAACACTGTGCCAAAAGAAGTCTTTCATTACTAACAGTTGTTCCCTGATTTGTTTTTCTTTGTCCTCCTCTTTAGAATTTGGGATGGTTTCCTTGATATTTTCCGCAGCGTTGGCCTACTTCCCCTCACGCCCTCCATTCCCTCCCAGTGTGGCTGCAGCTAGTCAGCGGCTTAGCTACAGGAGGAGCTTCTGCAGACTCTTAAGGTAAGTCCTGACTGAGCTTCCGCCAAAGAAATCAGCAGCTGAACAAATGAACGCAAGTGTACTTTAATCTTCTCACTGAACAAACAAGTTTGTTTGTAGTGCTTCTAAACCCAATCAAATAAAATATTAATGCTGAAACATTAAAAGATGGTAACTACGAGAAAGCAGACATTAAATTTTAAATGAGTCTATTCCAAATCTTCATGTGAGCATCCTCCTGCACCAGCACTGCTGGAGTCATTCTGTTATCATGGCTGCTCTTATGCAATGCTTCTGTTACATCAGGTTATACAAGATTGTTAACAGTGTGCATTCTGCTGAGTGTGACGTAACAGTTAACAGGGCTGGACAAAACTAATTAATAAGCTGCTTTCTTCCATGCTTTTTATAATGGAATGAACTTGGGATTTGCTTGTCATTCAAGGAGATGTACAAATGCCTTTGTTCAGCTGTAGGAGCAATGAATGAAATATCTGAAACCATTATATCATCCATTAGATCTTACTAATTGTTAAAATATGTGGGGTAGAAGTTCTGTTTCTGGACAACTTCAGAGATGAATTAGTTTTGTCTAAATTTAGAGTTTGAAAAAAAAAAGAAAAAACATTATAAAGTGGCATCTTCAGCTTTACAACTTTTTGTTATCTGCTTAGATTTAATTTTTTTTTTAAATTTTATTTTATTTATTTATTTATTTATTTATTGGTGAAACAATCCCTCCTTCATTGTTCGTAGAATGTCTTGTGTAATGGAAATATAGTATCAAAGCAACTGTAACATAAACGCTCAATAATTGTGGAGGCCTGTGCCTGGTGTGTGGTAATGCATAGAGGAGCTTGCTGTGGCAGAAACGATCTGTGATGCAGAGTATGATTGATTCCTCTGGGGAGGTTCAAACTCTTGCTGCAGTTTTTAGCATGTAGTAATATGAGATGAATTTATATAAAATGGGCTGCTTAAAACTTGATATTGTTGGAACTTCAGGCACTATTGTTTTCTGACTCTAAATAGTTGTTTTTTTTTAAGAGTGCAGCAAAACCAGCACCTCCTGTTATCACTGTTTTTATCTGGTGGGTTTGGAGGCTTTTGTTTCAGTTTGGAGGAGTGAATTTTTTGGAAAAAATAATTACTCCTATGTGCTCATACTCAAATAGGCTGGTAGCTGGGAGAAGATGTGAATACAGCTGGCTGGTTAGTTTGCAAACTGACCTACTCAGGATATTTAAAAAATAGCAATTCCCCTAAGCACACTTAGCATTCCCAATAATGCTGTTAAACACCCAACTTGGTGTGTAGTGAGACCCTGCCTGAGGGCTGTGTTGTAAAAATGTTCCTGTGGAATAGAAATCCAAACAGCAACCAACTCTGCAGGTAAAATATAAAATTTCTGTTGACGGTACTCTTTTTGGGAGCTCTATAACTACAATATTGCTCATTCAGCATATTGTAAATGCTGGGCCTGAGATACTGGTAAATTCAGGAGATAAGCAGCAAAACTGTTTTTCCATTCACAGTCAACCAAACTTAGGAAAACAAAGAGACACATGTAATCAGCAGAGTTCATCATGTTTCAAAGTTAGGTAGATCTTTGTCTTCCTTCCCTCTGGTCTTTATGTGTTCTTCCATTCTACCCCTTATCAAAGGCACTTCTACATTCCTCTGTACTGAAACAATCAACAGTTCATCATTAAAATCCCCACTTATCTTGGGGAGCCTTTCAGCACCAATCTGTCAAACAAAGCAGGCGTTTATAAAAGGGAACTATCTGCTGTGCTTCAGGGATAAGTCCATCATCTGGTTCATTAGGCTTCTAACCTCTGTTGCCTGCCTAACCTAGATTTGTGATTCTTGGAAAAGAAAGTCTTTCTTTAGACCTTGTGGTATAGGCTGAAGGTGATCAGCTGATGACAAGGAGGAAAATGTGATTTTCTCCTTTGTTGCAGACTTGCCCTCTGGTAGGAGAACTGTATGTGTAAGGCATTCAGGATGTGTGTGAGCAGCTCAGCTGACTTCACCTAAATGTACACCAAAAAACATTCTTGAGAACAAGAGGTCTTCATCACTTCCTTCTTCTCTGCCCCAGGCTTCAGATTTTTGCTTCGAAAGAAAGCTGTGTAGCATAACTTTACCACTGAAGTCATTGACCTCTTTTCTTGGGTGCCAAAGTGATCTGTGACTTCTTCACAGCTCCCAAGCTTCTTCATGCCTTCAGGTTGTTGAGCAGTCTTCTTCATGAGCTGTGAGGGAGTTGCTTCAGAACATGAATTTTTCCCCTGTCTTGGAGATTCCTGCTTCTGGCAGATTATAACAATTAGCTGATCTTGGGTTATCTCCTGATACCAATTTTCTGAGCCTGGGAGTCAATAGATTAGTCATGCTTTGGGAGCTAAGCCCAATTCTTTTAACAGTCTATCTCACGCTGTGACAAGCTTCGTTTGAATTTCATCAGAAAAAAGTACTGTGCCCTTTCTCAGTTTCTTAGGTGAAGTAAATATGTTTTTTTCCTCACTGCAGAATATAACAAAAACTTCCATGGGAGAAATTCTCTTACAAGTAAATAGTTAATAATATAAAAACAGTGGTTTTTTTTTTTTTTTTTTTTTTTTTTTTTTTTTTTTTCTTTCAAATAATAAGATGCCATTAGCCAGTTATGTGTCTTTATATTTTCAAGGTGCTGGGTAAGCAATTTTGAAATGGTGTGGTTTTTTGTGCATCATTACTTCTTTCATGAAACTTCCACATGACATCCGTGTCCAGCCTGGGAGCTGTTTGGAGCGTGTCTCACGTTAATAGACGTTGTCAAAGTTATTCTGAAAATGCTGACTGACTTTGACAAGGCTCTCCTGTGAACCAGCCTGTTGTATGAATTCTAAGTAACATTAAGTAGAATTCTGAAGAGAAACAACAACAAAACAGCAGAAGAAAAAGCCAATTTGGCATTCCAGCAGAATGATTTAACGGAGAGCCTAATGCTGATATCCTGTCATGAAGGCTGATATGATGGAAAACAGTGTGGGTTCACCAGCTGATGGTGTGACAGACAGCACATTTTTCTATTTTCAGTGGAGCAGTTGCAAAATAGCAAAAACAAATACAAGTTGCTGAAGCCATGAAGAGTGAAGCTGATACTTAAGACGTGTGTTTCAATTGGCTTTGACACTTACTGTAGTCAGTGATAGCTGTTGCTGTACAAGGGGACTAAAAGGCATATGGTGGCTGATGCCATGCACCCTTTCTCCTGGTTGATTTCCTTAACAGGGAGACTGGGCAGGGTGGCAGTGTGGGGGCCTCTGTCTCTGGAGGATGGTGTGATGCTGAGCTGGATCTCTGGTATTGCGACTAGAAGTTGAGTGTGATGGAGCAGCTACTGCATGTGCCATTTTGTCACATTGCTTGAGTTAGAGAAGACCTGGGTCAAGCAAACAACCAGGTGCTTACAGCCCAAAGTAGCTCATTAATGAAGTTCAGACAGACAATCAATGAGTTTGAATACTGGGCAAGTGTTGCTTTGGAGGAGTGCATTCAAAGTTGTTACTTCTTTGCAACCTATAATATGGCTATATAATGTCCATGCAAAATGGGACTTTCCCTTATATTTTATTCTGCAGATACTGGAGTAGTTTTTACATGGGTAGGATTAAGTAACATAAAACCTGCCTGCAGAGATGTCAGGATAGCACAGGATAGACTAGACTTGAGAGAGCAAAAAAAGTTGTCAAGAAGACAGCAAATGCATTAGCATTTGGAGAAATATGAGCAGTGTGTGGAAGAGTTGTTTTTCTTTGCATTTAAAAAAATAAATCTGACATGAATGATATTGAAAGAGCAGGATATGTTCATGTGATATAAATTTGTTATTCAAGATGAGGATGTGTGAAAAAGAACAGTGTGTAGAAAGAACAGAGTGCTGGCTAGAGCGCTTTGAATCTTCTAACGGAATAAAATAGTGTAGGCTCAAACCTCTCGATATTTTGGAGAATATTTTCTCTCCCATTTGGTTTTTGTAACTGTGTGCTATCCAAGTGCATACTAAGGAGCTGGTACTACTGATCAATATCAAGTTTGCATAAATTATCTAGGGGGAGGAAGGGTCACGCTTCGTGTTTACACAGGTAACCTGTAACTTAAAAGCATCATTGTTGGAGGAGTCCAAAGTATGTTTCCTGTTTTTATTCCCAGATTGAAACATTTTAGAGGAAAAGCTGGGATCTACCTTTGCAAGGGTGCTGCATTTCACTTTGGTTACAGTGATGAGGGGATGAGATGGGGTGGGGTCAGTGGTGATTGTTGTCTGGCAGCTCCATAGTTGTGTATGGTGAAGATGATAACACAACTTTGCTTTATCTTTTGCTGAATACTGAAGGCTAATTAATTTTAATTGGGGGAATAAAGCAAACATGTTGAGTATTTAGACAGAATGCTACGCTTGTCTCTGTGTTTTGATAGCTCAAACTGCCAGAATTTTCCACTGTTGCGTTTGTATCCGCCTTGTTATGAAAGCCCTCCCTCTCAACAAAACAAGAAGAAGTAAAACCACCTTTTAAATTTTTTTTAAACAGTTCAAAGCTCTGCTTTTATGCTTGAAATATGCTTTTCTTAAGTTGAATTAGTGCTTTTTGTTCCTAACATACACTTAGCCTAACTAGGTTGCCCATTCAAATGCAGAATTGCTTGCGGAAATGAAAAACATATGAGCCCAGCACATTATGAAAATGGTTGGATGTGGAAAGACTGGCTTTTCTTAATGTCATAGTGCTAAGGCAGTAACATCCCAGCCGCTCAGATTTTAGTGACTTGTCTGGATATGTGGTTTTTTCTGTCTCACTCATTCTTCAGACCTCTGCTATTTTTCTTGATGGGCAGAATATAGATTATGACTGTAATTTACTCTAGCAGCTAATCTTGGTGCAATTTCTAATATAAGCTTCAGCTAATTGCGTTTGTTTTGTTTTCATAGCAATTTCCGATTCTTGATGATTGCTTTAGCCTATGCTATACCACTGGGTGTTTTCTCTGGCTGGTCTGGCGTTCTGGATTTGATATTAACACCAGTTCATGTGAGCCAAGTAAGTATCTCCTGACTGATAATCAACAGCTATTTTGTAAGTGGTATGTTTTTATTTTGCACTAACATACAATTTTGTCAGGTTTTTATAATACGTATGAACCACTTTTATACTGAAATGTTAAACAAAATAAACTATAGCTTTGGCATTCCAAGCTGTCAAGATCCTTCCTGTTGACTCTCAGCTAGTGGGTTGTAGTTTCAGAGCTGTGTACGCCTTTTGACAAGAGTGAAGAGGCAGATAAACAAATAGGAGTATTGTTGGCTGCAGCACCTTTAGTAATAGAAAATAATGTTTACCAGATGAAAAGGATGAAATAGGGAAAAGAGGATTTCTAAGCTTTTGATAGAGTACAGTTGAAATCCGGAGGACATTACTTGAATGATTCCATAGAGGAATCACATCTAGGGCACAGGCTAATTAGTCATACTTCTTTTTGGAGAAAACTTTGTTTAAAATATCTTATAAAGGTCTTGCATCTAGCGTTGATGTTGGGGGAGTGGGGCATGGGATGAATTTGCCAGCAGTCTGCAGCCCCTGTGCAGCATTTGTTTTGAAAATAGCATCATCGTACTTTCTCTAACAAATTTCTTTATTTTTCTTCTTTTTTTTCCTGTCAGGTAGATGCAGGCTGGATTGGATTTTGGTCTATAGTTGGAGGCTGTGTTGTTGGCATAGCAATGGCAAGGTAGGAATAATTGCATCCACTTTTTCAACTGTTATTTTCATTTGGCTTATGCTCTTAATAATATAACTTGTTTTTTCTCATCTTTTAGATACTTGGAATAGTAAATGTGTAGTTCTGGGATTATGTGTTTCTTGTAGAGCAGTGTGTTTTTGTATTCCATGTTACTGCTCTCTGAGGGTTGAGAGTGCCGCACACTTGTCCCTTGATTCAACAAGTTAGTCTGTTAGTCAACTGTTCAACTGTTAGTCCTGACAAGCACTTCCTATGTGTTCTTTTAAAATGGTTATTGTGAATTCAGCTGCCTGCTATTAGGGAGAATCCATTATAGCCCATTTGGAAAGCATTGAAGAAATAGTGTCTGTCTCATTGCATCAATAATTTTGGGCATGTTGATTCCTGAAGAGACATTGAGAATGTAGCACAAGCAGGTTAGACACAATGATTGTATGTTCCACCACAGAGAAATTACTGTAGGCCTGTTTTGGCAGCTTGCTGGATTTCTGTATGGTGCTTTTTTGTTGTTGTTGTTGTTGTTGTTTTTCTTCTATGCTGGTATGGGTTGCACTATGGCTGTACCTATGCTTTTTGTATATCCAGACACGGATACCTCTGGCCATCATGAATGCTGAATGATTTGAGAAGTGGAAAAATAAGGAATGGGTTGCCCTTCTTGAAAGGCTGCTGCTTTTTAAAATTTCAACTAAAGTCCCTTAATAATAAAAACAGAAGAAAAGAGGAGGTGGGAAGAAAGGTTTTCTGGAGGTACTTGAGCAGTGCGTTTATGAAACTGCTTAAAACCAGCTGCATGGTCCCCTTGCACCTGCGTTTTTAAGTGCTATCTTGGCTTCCTTATGCCCCCTGTGGTTCTGCAACAAGTTCCTCAAAAGAGTGCAGGGGTCTGTCATAGCTGTTATTGTGGCATTGTGGAAAAAATTGTCATCGTAGGACAGAATCTAGAGATTTCTTCTACTCTATTTTAACTTAACATCATAAAATCATTCAGTTTGGAGAACACCTCTAAGATCATCTAGTACAACTTTATACTTACTACCAATATTTCCCACTAATGTCCCTCATATGTCTCTCTGGCCCACCCTTCAGCCTAGGACAAGGCATCTTCGGAGTACACAATGCATAAAAATGTGAGGCTTCTCATCCTGACATTTTGCACACTGGCTAGCAGCTGTGGTGGAAGAGGAGGAAAAATCCCCTGACCTAGGGAGGAGAAACAGCTATGTCTCTCTGGTCCTCTCCAGATGCAGGCAGAAGAGCTTAGTCTGTCAAAACAAAGTTCACACCCTATTTTCTTCAAATCATTGAGGGCCAGAGCGCAGTATGAAGTATTGTTCTTAGAGAAGTAGATATTTAAAACTACCTGCTGTAAGTGACCTAGATGCTCTAGCAGGTTACCTGATGGTAGCAGGTGCCATGCCAACTTAATTCTTTCCATCATGGGTTCACCTCTCCTGAAAGTCAGGACACTGTTAGCACTCACATTGCTAGGAGAGAATCTGCTGACTCGGTGCCAACATGCGAATCTCAATCTTTATGGTAAATTAATTTATTTAATACATTGTCCAGATTAAGTTTCAGGAAATGCTGACTATCTCCTTAACTGCTTCAAAATTGATTTCAAACCTCATTGAATACCAGTGCTTTGTAGCATCCAGAGATTTGCTTTTAGGTAAACTGAAAAACTAAAATATCAACAGTCTCTCTCCAAATATGCCTTTCTAAATCGGGCAATGCATAGTTGAAATGGGAGGGTTTGCACACACACTGGGAGGGAGGGGGTGATTTGCCACTCATGATGGATGGCTCTCCCTCTTAGGTCTATTCAGCATTTATCTGTGTAGGGCTGAATCAATGACGAGTCTGACTGTAATCTGCTGAAAGTTGTAATTAGGAAAATTAAGTAATGATTCTTGTCAAGGGTGACAAGCTGATGTATTTCATTGTCAGAACTATGATTTACCAGGCAAGCAGCTCTTTCCTTTAACCACTCCTCAGGAAGCCAGATTTTTTTTTTCTATTACTTTTTTCCACTAATTTATCAAAGCAAAATTGGTACAGTTTAGGAATCTGCCCTTTACATTTTTGGCAATGCAGAGTCTACTATTTAAAACAGTAACAATCTGAGGCTCATACTGGAGCACTTGTTCCTGCACATACACAGTAGGTGTAGATCATTTGTATTTAAAGTTGTGCCCAGTTTGGAAACACATCTATCTCATTTTTGAAATGGTATGAATTTTCCTCAGCACAATACATAAATCTACCTACTGCTGTCCCAATAGACATGAACTTCAGATATGTTTGGCTCATTTGTGTGATGCATTTTTCTAATTGAAAAGCTCGGGTTATTCTGGGCAGCTGGCAGCTTTTGAATGACACTGGCTTGAAGAGAGGCAACGTTGAAGAGTCATGTTCATATTATTGCATGGCAACTTAAATCTATCCCCTTTCCCCCAAAATTTTCTGTCCACGTTTGCTAATGACTCTAGATATTTCTGAGGTTTTGTCATTCACAGCTCAATCTTTCTTTTCTGCTTTTAACCTGCAGTGTTAGTCAAAATGCTGAAACTTCATGACATGGTGATAATTTCCTTAGCAACAGACGGTGTTGTCAGCAACACAGGTTTGTGACTTTAGCTATAGGATCCAGCCTAGGCTGATTTTCTGGGTTACAGGAGGCTGCTACCAACGGTAGGCTGAGAGATCTGCGTCCTGGGAGTGATAAGGGAAAGCGTATGCCATCTGTCCTGGTGCACCTACTTCTTTAGCAGATGTAGACATTCCAATACATGCTAGATGGTGAAGAAGGATGGTGGGGATAGAGGGAACAGTGATTTTGTCTGCTAACAGAAAAAGCAGGGAGTCTTTGGGGAAGAAGTCTGAAATTGACACGTTGAGAAGCTTTTAAAATTGCTGATTTTGACCTTAGTGATCTTGAAGAATAATTAAAGAAACTGACAAACTACTGAGACAACTACAGTGATCCTGACTGCTGGATTTGAACTGTCAGAAAAACGCGACAGAAACAGCTAGCCTCTGACTATTGGGATTAATGCATAAGCCACTTAACACTGCAGTTGTAAACTTTTAAGATTATATACAGCATTGATCTCCCTCTACTGCTTATTGAATTACTTGCTGCTAAATTCGATGTGGAAGTAAAGCTCAGGGAGAATCAAAATAAGAGGAAAGAAGTGATAATTTTTGCAGGTGTCATTTACTTGTACATCTCTTTATGGTTTGTAAAGAGCTAGGATTCCTAGCCTTCAAAATGTAGCATTCATGTGTTACATCAAGTAGGCTGTATGGTATCTGCCTGTGAAGTGACTCTTAACCAAGGCAGAAAGGACAATTTGTTTGCTGTGAACCAGCCTAGGTGGATTGTGCTGCCATCAGCCTAATAGAAGTAGACAAGAAGTGCAGAATATGTTCTTTTGACATATGTCCAGCCCAAAGTCATATTCCTAACCTACAGAAAATTACTAGTGGGGAAATAACGTTGCCTTTTCTTTTCTAGTATCCAAGTTGAAATCCCTTTGGAAAAGAGCATTAGCACTGATAATTACACTATGTGAGTGCTGCTCAGATGCATGATGTCATCTTGGAAGAAAAATGAAAAAAGATGAGGAAAAAAGCAATTGAACCATCTCCTGGTATAAAGATCATGTTTACCTATATGTAGGTGTATAGTATACAACAGTGGGACAAGTGTGTAGATGGGGATGGCACAAAGACTTACGGTGTCTGGAACATTTCAACCCAAAACAGCCACTGGCAGAGTGACCGTGTGTGAAAAGTTCCTGCTTTGCCTGAGCCACTGAGAGCTCCATCACCAATTTCTTTGAGGATCAGAAATTCTTCCACCTAGGGATTCTAGTACAGGGAGTTGTGTTGTTTCCCATAGGAATGAGTCTTGAAAGTTAACTATGTCTTGAATGAAATGCATCAGCCTACTCATATGTTAATTGTGCAGTGTGTCTGCCAAGGGAGACTGGCAAACACTGGCAAAACAGCAGTGCAAGTATTGGTGTGATGTTATGTCCAACAAATGCAGGAGGAAAAAAAAATCTTCCCTACATACCAAGTATTTTCAGTTGATGCCTTGTGAATTTCTTGTTTTGATTGTTATTTTGTGACAGCTAGAAAATCTGTGGCACTTCATCCTGACAGCTAGAAATATCACCATTCTATAAAAAGCATTTACTTTTATTTCTGAGTGTGAGAAATGATTTTTAATTTGTTTTTATGGTTTCCAAAAGGTTTAATGAGAATTTACTGAATTAATTGCCAACCATCATGTTTAAGTAATGTGAAAATTAGCATTTGTACTGCTCTGATCTGTGGGTTGTTTTTTTTTTTTCTTTTTGTTTTTGTTTTTTTTAGATTTGCAGATTTTATTAGGGGCATGCTGAAATTTATTCTGCTGCTGCTTTTATCTGGAGCAACGTTAGCATCAACCTGGTTCACTCTCACCTGTCTAACTAGTGTCACCCATCTGCCTTTAACCACAGGTATTGACAATAACTTTAATTTGTATTATTTATAGTCTGTATTGCAGACGTATGCTTGCAGTCTTAAATCAAATATGTAATAAGTTGGTCAGGTATCTTTAGCTGTAGGTAATTTTACCAAGAGCAAAAGAAAAGGCTTGGAAAATCCTTCTGTATTCTCTAAGAAGTTTTTAAGTTGCTTCATACAAGGATTAAGACCAAACAAAAATTAGTAGAGTAACCTAGACTACACATTTCAGATTTATTTTGGGACTGAATACTTTTCTTCTGCTGCTGTTTAGGAGTAACGGTGGTGATATACAATAATAGATAATAATCCTGTGAATGGAAGTAGTGTTGCATATAATAAGAAATAGTGACATGTCTGGGAATGTAGGGCTTTGAAACTTGCATTAATGCTTGGAAACATGCTGCAGTTTAAACTAAGGTGAGCCATGGTATCTTCAGCTGTCACTGCAATATGCTGTCCTCCCCCCCCTCTACTGGTAGTATCTTTGTGCAGGTTCAGGGGACAACTCCAGCCCCAAATTTACTCATCCTTCCCATCAGAAGGATGGGGAATAGCTGTTGGCAGAAGTGGAGGAAAAGCTCAGAGTTGTACTCATGTTTCCAGTTGATTGGACCCGTATTTGAAAATCAGCACTGCTTTTTTCTTTTTTTTTAATCTGTTCTTCACCTTCCTATCTGCACCAAAGGATTGATATAGCCTTAATTCCAGGGCCTTCATCCAGCAGAGTAATGAGTTATAGTAAAACTAAACCATGAAAATTTAAAAACCATGTTTTTTTTCTTCCCTGTATTTAATAAAGAGGTTGTTATGGAAAGTATTACATAAAATATTCCTTTATTCAAATTAAATTTTACTTTTAGTAAATGTTCTTGGCACGTTGCGTGTGTCATAACTATAAACCAGGAATGGGAATGGCAAGTTGAAATACATGATCAGTTCAGGAGAGAATTTCACCCTCTGGATGGTGATTGGTCAGATTCATGAGTTATCTTGTGATTTCAACTTTCTTCAAAAATTTTTTCTCAGAAGTAAAGCTTAGTAAATAAATCAGACTTCATGGTGGTTGTCATAACGAATGACTACACTTTTCTTCTCCATGCCATGAAAGCTCTTACTTTTTTGTGCTTGTCTGCTTCATTGCTACAAGCCTGCAGTAATGTAAATTTGTACAGTAACTCTATCCTCTGAATTGATGCAACAAGCCAAATGTCCCTTCAAGTCTATGCATAAGAATGAAGCAGAGAGGTTTTCAGGAGGTGAAAGTCATTACAGATGTATTTGCCAATGATCCAAAACAAAACCCAACTCTGATTTACTTTTTTTTTTTTTTTTTGTCAAATTGCTCAGCATGCAGGGATTCCTACTTGTCCAGAGCATATTTGTGCATTACTGTCATTACTGTGCTGTTTTTTGTTAGGTTAGTTTTATTTTTGTTAGGTCTGCCACTGTCAAGGCATAAGAGCATATTGGGATATTTAGCATATCATGTGAAGTGTGCTGAACTTAACATCCCATGATAAAAATGCAGAAACTGAATTCTTTTCATGCATGTTTGTTCTAAAATGAGTAGTTCCTTAAATTGAATTGTAAATTATCTTTTGGGTTTTTCACTCTGTAGTGTTCATACACATTTCCCTGGAAACGTGGAACTCTTTCCTGTAAAACAAAGGATTATTTTGAATAGAAATGCCATCAGTGTGATGCATACCTCTGGAAAAAGAGTCACAGAATCACAGAATTGTAGGGTTTGGAAGGGACCTCCAGAGATCATCGAGTCCAACCCCCCTGCCAAAGCAGGTTCCCTACACCAGGTCGCACAGTCTGCTAGGCCAGTAGGCATTAGGCATCAAGGCCTGATGTATAACCACCAAATTGTTTCTTTTTTTATTCCTTTGTTGTAATGTTTAAACTTCATAGATAATTTGGGGAGGTTTTGTATCAGCTTTTTCTGCTTAAGTTTATAAAATAGATGTAATGTGCCTGTTTATTTTAGATCCTCATACACGAGAAAGCAATGGCATATCTTTATGAAATACAGTGTTATGGATGAAAACACACAAGCTATTTAAGCTAATTTATGGAACTTCATGCTAGATTATTCCTCAACATAATGATGCGGTACGATGATGACCTGTGTGTTCCACAGTAATTGGGAGAAATGGTACATTTGAATTGATTTTGATGAGCTTCTTTCTTGTTTTTTTTTTGTTGTTTTTTTTTCTTCTTTTAATTAAAAATTGAGATGTAGAGTGTATCAGCCAAAATATTAGAGATCTACTGCAGGCCATTGTCTGCCTGCTTTCTGAAGTGGTTTGAGATAGCTGCCTAGGATAGAGGTCATTCTACATACCTGGTGGACCAGTGTTGACAGTGGCCTTCCAGGTAGTTGTCCTCTGAGTGTTCTTCTATGGTTGGAAGCTGGGAAAAACAAAACTCATCATGGCAGAGTTTTTTGTTTGTCTGTGCGTTTTTGTGATTGTTTGTAGTAAAATCTCTGTAATTGCTTCGTACCTCAGAGCTACTTTGCAGGCCTTGCTGAAGACCTGCTGTAACACAGGGATCAGTATGTTACTGAGGGCAACAGGATGTGACGAAGCCAAGGAGGTGAAAGTTTGGCTTCTCTTTGGCTTCTTTCAGTCCTGTGGCAAAGAACTCCAGTGTTTGGCTTGGCAGCGCTGCTCTGCAAGTGATGGGTCTTGAACCATACTTGTCATGGAATCTTATTCAGATGCTGTGGCAGAGCAAAGCAGGGTTCAGAGCTGACTGTTGAGAGAACTTGTTGTATCTTTGTTCTTGTAAGGATACTTTGCCTTCCAGCGTGCTAGCTTCCATTTTGTGAGAGGTTCCCTCTCTCATTCCCTCTCTGATGTTGTTCTCTTGAACAGATTAGTGTTTGCCGTATAAAATCACAGGCATTGCCATTTTCAGCAGTATCTGGAGACTCCTGAAATACCCAGATGACCTGGTGGAGTGCTGGTGCATTTTAATGACAGGTCACTGGGTGTGATGAGGAAGCACGATACCTCATGGGTGTCTTTATACTGGTCAAGGTGTTAGTGAGAGCTTCAGCGTAGAGATGAAGGCAGGTTCATCTCAGCTGATAGCTGATTGATCTACAGGTAATGTTTGCATCCATAGGTGGGCCTTGCCAGTGATTTCACCAAGTCCAAAAATAGTGTTTTCCTTTAGTAAGGGGGTGTTGCATAGCACATATACTTGTTCCCCTTTCTGAAAACCTTTTCCTGTTCTCTCATCTGGTCTCCAGACTATTTCCTTACCCATCTATGTTTGCAGGCAGGCAGGCTTTTGAAATGCTGAAACGAAAAGAGAGTTTGGCTGATTATTCATCCGAAAAGAAGGAGATGGAAATATCTAATGACTATTTTTGTTTTCCAAAAACAAACAAAAAACCTCTTTTAATCAATATACTTTGTAGCACTTGTAGTAATATCTAATTTAAAGACTGGAGGAGGAATTGTATTTGAGAAAACAGACACAGCAAAGAGTTTCATCCTGCACTTGTTTGTATAACACACTCCTAATTCCTTATAAATAGGCACAACATCATCTAAAGATCTCCTATAAAAATGTAATTACTTAGAATGGAGACCTTTAATGTAGATATTAAAAATCAATGACTGCTTTGTGTTTCCTTTAAATTATACTGTTTAACATTGTTTGTATTGTATAATACGTGCACTGCTTTGCATTATCATGAAGAGTTTTTCCTCCTGCCACAGGATGAGACAAGTTTTATCTCAGTTGCTGACTTCTGAATATATCTCTGGAAGACTTTAGGGAAGGTGTATTTGGAGTCTTGTGTGTGAGCCATAACAGACCCATAACTGCCAGTGTGGAGAAAAAGAAAGCAAGGCAATAATAACAATGCCATCATAGCTGCTGTATCTTCTATCGCAAACACCTCTCATCAGCTAATTATAGCCCTTAAAAATCCTTCATTCTGAAATTAGTTTTTGTTTTAAGCAAGAATTGTCTTCTGAATTTTCTTTTAAGAAATTTTAGTGTATATTGTTTGCATTTTTCAGCTAGTTTCAAAGACCGTTTTATATAGACATTGGGTATTAAAATAGTTTTCTCTGTTGAATTCCCAATGCAGCTGCTGATCTCTCTTTCTCTGTGCCAAGCCCATTGTTAGTTTGCTTTGTACCGAATTTCATTATGTGAATTTATGTACAAAGGGAAGCTTTAACCCCAAATAATTGTGTAACGCATTGTAATGCCAGTTTCAGTATCTTGTAACTTTGTGTAGCTGGTAGTATCTCTGGATACAAATGCCAGCATTTTCTAAAACTTGATATGCAGTGCTGGTTGCTTGCAGCTCAGATGGAATGTTTTCAGCCTAGCATATCAAGAATATTCTAATATTTATGAGCACATTCAGCAGAATTCTGCTTTACAAGATCTTTACTGGTGCTGCTTGGCAGATACTCTGAATACTGTGGCAACTCTGCGAGTTGATTACTATATTTAGGTTAAGCAGTCTAAGCATTATTTTTCAGGTTCAGCAGATTGAACATTATAAACACATCTGTCTCCCCATCCTCATCTGCGAAGCACAGTATTGAGAAAGAGGAATATTAGTTATGTAATACTGATTGTTTCATTATTTGAGTTTAATTTCTTTACTATAAACAAGACATACTATGCCTTGCTGCCTCAAAGGATAGAATAGGCCTGAAAACATGGAAACTGAGGTTTGTTTTTTATTTCTAGCTTCAGCCTGTTGCTTATGGCTCTGAGTAAGTCTCTAGGTAGGTCTTATTACTTCCCTCCTGTTGTACTTTTCCAACTTGTAAGTTTGCAGTAATGACCTTTGTATTGATGGGGGGTGATGATCACTCACCAGTTTCTTCTGGTTTTTTTTGGTTGTTTTTTTTTTTTTTTTTTATAAAGCAAATACTCTGCTTTCCAAGCAAGTTCTACTTGCTTTTCTCTTGGCAAGTATATTGAACAAATGCAATTTGATCAAATTTTTGTTTACTTTTATGGCTATATCATGAGATAAGAATTTGATCAACACATGCTGGAATAGAGATTTATGCAATGAGACACATTGACGTTATAAATACAGAGTATAGAGACATCCTTCTACTGGTTTTGTTTTTTTTTGTTATTGTTTTTTTCTTTTTTTTTTGTTGTTCCTATAAGTGATTTATAATAAAAATTGCTGTTTTACCTTGGGGCAGTCACATTTCTCATGGAAAAAATTGAAGGCAACTTCTTCAGTGTCTATTCTTAATGTTGCCAATAGCAAGGATTAAGTTACGGAGAAGATTCTCTTCACTTTAACAGACTTGAGGGAGTTTGATAGGAACTAACTTTGACTTGTTTAGCTCTATTGTGAAAATACTGAAGTCCACGAAGTATTCATCCGCATAAGGCATTATCCTTTCATTTTGGTATTTGGGATGCTATTATAACCAACAATAACAAAATGCCCTGGATCTCCGTAGGCTTCACTTAAATTGTATGCTATGCCCACGAGGAATGTTAAGTTGTATTTACTTTCCTGTTGATTTATATGAAGTTTGTGCAAGTCTTATCTCAGTTTGTCTGAGAACTATTGCAAAATGTACAGTATTCAAGAGTTCTGTCAAAGGACTTTGGAAGAAGATGCTTCTTTGTACTCAATGCTGCACTAGTGTCTGCATTTCTCTAGCAAATGTATCTGTGAAATACTTTTTAAAAAAAAATGAAATGGTAACATTTCTTATTGTTCATTGGAAACCGTCCAAGTTGCATGTGCCAACAGAACGATAAGAACCATTTAGACTGGTGGAGATCCTTCCATTAATTTAATTTAGTTTTGGATTGAGCTTTGCAGTTGTAGATCAGTAGTGATGATGGTGTATTTTAAAACGAAATTTGTGGATGTGTTTCAGAACATCCTGGGAAGTTCTGGAAATTTGTTTGAATGTCTGAGAGAGAAATGCAAGGCACCTTCTGCTGTGTTGCAAGCTCATCCAGGAACAAACAAGTGGATGCTGTCACTTAAACCCTTTCCTCATTCTAACTCCTAATTTACTTTTTTCCATTATGAAGCTCTTGCCACAGCGGGTAGCTGGGAGGAAATAAAGTCTGTTTCTGGGTTACAGGCATTAATTTATCTTCCTGTAGCTAACAACTTGTGGTAGAGAGGAAGCTGAAATGGAACCTGATTACTTACAACTTTCTCCTTTTTGTGATAAGCCACTGTGGCAATATCAGTCCCAAATCACTGCCTCACTTCATCTAACAAGTAACATCTGTAGTGACATTATCATGACTCACTTTGTTCCTTGCTTTCTTACTGGCATTGCACCTCAAGCAGGAATACTGCATGGCTGAAAGACACTGGAGGCTCCTCCCAGGGTAGCTCCAGGCCAGTTCTTCTAAAGCAGCTGTGCTTTGGATAGGCATGTTGCTTTTCCTGCTCTGCTTTGCAGTGGTCAGTGTGTGAAATAGCTACCCAGATCTTTAAAATGTGACATTAATGGAAGTAGCTTAAAGAAACCTAGACCAGTTCTGTTATTCATGGATGCCCACAGCTGCCACAGTCTCAGGTGCACACTTTTGCACGTAGCTTCACAGGCAGTTAATTCCTTTTCCTAAGGAAAAGCAGGCTTTTTCATACTAATAGCATGACACAGTTCCCCGGAGGATGCTTCCGTCCAAACATGTGCTTACTAGTTGTTTGTCTTTGATAGGATTTAGAGCATAATATCATACTAGCTTCTTGGCAAATCATTTTTATTTATTTATTTTTTTAAATTTGTCAGCACTTTCATATCCTTATATTCATTTCCATTGACTGTCATCGAGATTGTCTTAATCGAAAAAACATTTCCTGTAAGTTCAGCAGCTGTTCTCCTACAGTATAAAATCCTGGTAGTTACATTCATTCGGTGCAAGGTCACTGCAGTAGGAAGGAAACAGTCACCATTAATAGGTGGTATTCTTGCTGCAGTGCCTTGTAGCCCTTGAGCAGGAATGTTAGGTGTGAGCCACTCTGTGAAGGAAGTGTCTGGAGATCCCCACAGTTTGGAGGCATGCTGCCTCCCTGGTCTGACTGCTGAAGTTTGAGGGAGAGCATGAGTCATGCTGCAGAGACGCTGTGAGCAGCCCCACTTCTGCTGCTGCTCATTGTAACAGCCAGCAGCTTCATGACTGTTTCCACTGTTTGGTGTTAGAATATGGAATTCCTCTTTGCAATTACATGGTTGTTGTTGTTGTTGTTTTGTTTATTTGTTTGTTTTTGCTTTTGGGAAAGTTCTGGATGTTTTCTAGAAGTTGCAAATAGTTATCTATGGATATCTTCAATTGAAGGTAACAAGTAGCAGATGTTCATTTGTCTTTAGAGATTCCTTGTATTTCATTGCCATCACAAGCCAACACAAATTTCCAATAGCTGAATTCCATGTTCAGATTTGCTGTGTACATCTGAAAGCAGTTACAGAGCAATAGAGCAATATGCACTAACACCCTCTTATTGGAGGTTAACAAAAGTTGTCTTTTTATTTTATTTTTTTTGACTTGCAACTCAGAACATTCTGGTATGTTTGGGGGAAAAAGAAAAAGCAGAGTGGCCAGCAGTCCCTCCTGAAGTTATACCATCAATATCACCTTTCTGGATGAGTCTTCTGTATTCTTTTTCTTGTCCAGGCAAATCCTCTGTAGAGAAAGCATTATGTCTCTGCGCCTTGCAAGCGTACCACATCAAATGAAGGATCTGATAGATAACCCTTTCTGCTGTGTCTTTTAATGCCTTGATCTCTTTTCCATGATTCTTCATATTTTAACAAATTGTGATGTTAGGCTTTTTTTTAAACTGGAAGTGTCTTGCTTCCTTACAGCTTTGCAGTTGGGTGACTGAACAGTGCTTGACAAGATGAAGCAGAGATTTTTCAGTTCTCCTCTTTCTAAGACAGAAGAAAGCAAAATTAAACTGAAAATGCGTTGCCTACTTTATATAAGCATAGATATCTGTACAAGGGGGGGAAAAGAACCTAAGAATTTAGTAGCAAACTTCAGTGAGAAATGCTATAAAAAGTTTTCCTATGACTTAATGCTTTTGCATCTGAAAAATAATACGCTTTACGCTATCTTGTCATTTTGGTGGAAACTTGAGAAATTAATTTCCTCACCTATATGCCTTCTCATTCTTTCCTTATGCCTTACAATCATGGAATTATAGAACAGTTTGTGTTGGAAGGGACCTTTTAAAATCATTTACTGCAACCCCCTGCTATAGGCACCTCCCTCTAGACCAGGTTGCTCACAGCCCCATCCAGCCTGGCCTTGAATGCTTCCAGGGAGGGGGCATCCACAGCCTCACTGGGCAACCTGTTCCAGTGTCTCACCAACCCTCACAGTACAGAATTTCTTCCTGATACCTAGTCTAAATCTATCCTGTTCCTATTTCCATGTACCCTTGGCCTTACACGTTATGTTTTCTTGACTGGTAACTCAGATCAGATTGCTGGTCCAGATGTCATCTTGTTTCCTAGACAGAACTTAGCAAACTTATTTCAATTTCTGAATTCAGTACTAAATTCTTCTGAGATTTTCTATTTTTCAGAAGTAAAGTGTTTGGCAGTGTTGGAAATCGTAGAACAAAATATCTGAAGGTACTGAAGAAACATCTGTGTTCTTCTGCTATTCACCCAAAACAAATAAGCTGTACAGTGGTGAAAAATATGCCTTATCAAATACATCCCATTCCTTCTAGGCACTGGGTGCCCTTCATTTCCTATTGAAGCCAAATGGGATTCAACATGTTGCCACTCAGGCTTTGATGAATACTAATGTCTTGTTATCTGCTAAATCATTAATATTTATTGGTAAAATGGAAGCAAAATTAGTCCTGACCTTTAGGGCTAAGTCGGAAGGTTAATCTGTGTCCATTTCCAATTCAGAGCATTAATTGCTCCCTTCTCTAATTGTACACAGGACAATAGTTACTGTTCGTTTCAGAGATAAATCAAACTGTAGGTGATGGTTTGCATTCATAATTCTGTGCTTATTTCTTCTTACAAATGAATTCTAAGTCACAGAATGTCTCTTAACGGGTTCTGTTTAAAGCATCAATAATTAAAACATAACAATTAAAAAACTTTTTTATAAAAAAAAAAAAAAAAAAAAAAAGCCAACCAAACCACAATGCATACTTTCAACCTAATACTAGTGGGATAGTGGGATGTGATATAGTTTGTAATACACAAAGGATAAAAAAAAAAGTTTGTGTTTTTGTTTGCTCAGATATTACTGTTCATGACAGCTCTGTATATGGGGAAAAACACCAGAGTGAAACTAATAGCTGTTTTTGTTTCTCTTACAGCCACACTGTATACATCCTGTATTTTGTTGGGCATATTTCTCAACAGCAGCATACCAATATTCTTTGAGCTCTTTGTGGAAACAGTCTACCCTGTTCCAGAAGGAATTACCTGTGGAGTTGTCACCTTTTTGAGTAATGTGTTTATGGGAGTGCTTTTGTTTTTCCTCACGTTTTACCACACAGGTAAGAAATATGAGTTACTTTGAAAATGTAATTCCCTGTGAAGACATACCCTTGTCAGTAAGGAGAGGAATTTGCATATACAATTTCTGTTAATAATCAAATGCATGAATCCCCTTTAGTAGCAAGGGAAAAGAACTTGAATTGTCCTTTTCTACATGCATGTTAATAAAAACAAAATGCTTTTTTTGTAAGATGTATGTAGACATGTTCCACTTGAAATTTGCTGTAACCAGAGCTCATCAAGATGCACATCATATTTTTGTAAATTTTTATTTAGATTTTTATGGATAAATATTCCTTTAGATAATCCAGTGGCCCAGTGAGGCAGAACAGTGTCTTGTTTGATATTTTCATCAGCATCTTCAGGTTTTCTCATCTCAGGAGTATTATTTGCTTCCTCATAATTTATAATCAGTCTTCAAACTTGCTGTTTAATAGACTATAATAAATTCTTATTACTCTCCTATGACAAGATGAGCTGCTTAGTGAATGAGGGAAAGGCTGTGGATGTTGTTTACTTGTACTTCAGCAAAGCATCTGATGCTGTTTCCTGCTAGCTTTCTCCTGGAGATACTGATGTGGATGGCTTGGATGGATGAGTTGGATGGATGTTTTGTTTTGTAACTGAGAAGAGACTGGTGAATTTCAGAATGAAATGTGTTTGAAATTAAAGGTTACATTGCAGTGCTACTTTTCAACATGGCTTGTGTATCTTTCTGACAAGTAATTATATGTAGGTTAATGATTACATTCTGAATTACGTTCTGTGGACAAAAATTGAAAAAGAAGATTTTTTTTTCATACTTTTACTGAACTGCATTGTTGTAAAAAGTGGATTCTATCCACACCAGCCTCCGTGGTACAATGTTTACTCCTTACATCTTAAAGAATGCTTTTATGATTAATATTAATTGGTGTGAACTCTGTTCACATATAGTATTATTTCCAACATTTAAACCTGAGCTGAAAAGATGGTACAGAATATTCTGAGGATATTTTCAACATTTTTTCAGAGTAAGGTGTTCTGAAGTGCTTAAAAACCAAGGAATTGGGACGCAATCTCTTGTAATATTTGCATACTGTTAATTTCCTGTGACTGAAGAATTGTGCTAGAGTGAATTTATTCCCTCATGAACAGGGTATTTCAGGCCATTTTATTCTCTAGCAGGTATACCTGAAATTAGTGTATTCACACACTTGGAATCTTTTCCCTATTTCTCCAAAGGAGGGGGAAAAAGTTATCTGTGCTCAAGATGATCCATTCTCAGTGATGGAGTAACAGAAATGATCAAAATTACAGATGTTTGTGATCGCTGGAGGCAGTCAATGCTGGTGGATGCTATTGGCTCCTTTGATAAAGGAAAAATCCTTTAGAATTTAGATAATGATCTTAAATACTTGTTTTCCCTTTGAATCAAATACATCTTCTAATGACATCTAAGAAGCTTATGGGTAAACCAGAACTCAGTCAAATGTATCGTGTTCACTCCTTGCTTTTAGGCCAAATAATCTTTCAGTAGTTTAAATTTTTATTTCTTCTCATACTGTGATGTTGCAAAGGCTGTGAAAGAATCGAGCAATAGAAACTTTCCAGTGCATTGAAGATTTTGGTCCATCTAATTTGGTTGAGAAGGGAAATTCCAACCTTCCAGAAACCTCAGTCTAATTTCTAGTGCTGTGCTCTGAGACCAAAAGCCTCGGCTTCTGGATGTGGTTTCTTACAGGGAATTCCAAGTGGGAACCACAGAGAAACCAGCCTTTAGCTTTGTGTGATCCATATGTTAGCATGAAGCTCCAATGCTGTACCAAATTCTGTGTCGTAAAAGACATGAAGGGTTCAAGAGGAAAATGTGGTCTTTCAGGTTATACAAGTTCAAGTACGTTTACCCTAATTAAGGAAGAGTATTGCTTCTCCCAGAAAATAGTAGCATAGCTTTTACCTGTGAACAATATTGGCTACTCCAAGCCTGTGAATATTTTATTAAGGTTTTGATTGCCTCACCAAATCTGTAAGTGTTGTGAGGAGAGGGGGTTGTTGGTTGTTGCTGGTTCTGAGAGCTTGGTTTCCCCAGCTTTGACTCTTGTCCTTTGCATTGGGTAGTATAAATTGTGCTTTCTCTTTTAGCAATGTAAAGTTTATGAAAGTAGCAGTGCTGAAGTCTTGATTATGATTAGCTCAGACTCAGGGAGAGCTTAGCTTCTGTAAAAGTCAATAAACAATTTCAAAAAGAATGAAAATATTTTTTAGTAATATTTCATTATAACGTTGACAGATTTTAAGGAAAAGAGTCATACACTTACTTCTAAATGACACTGCTAAGTAGTACAAAATATCAGGCAGTAGTATTTCTTGAATGTGGAACGTATGTTTTTAGGAGCAGAATGTTGCAACTAACAGCTAAAAAGAGCCTGCTGAGCAGCAGTTAGTGCAACTAGTTTTAAATTGCATTGATTGCACTACTCACAAGGTTTGTCTTTTGGAATTAGTTTTCCCTCCTCAGCCCACGTAGCAGGTTTGATTCAAAATCAAATCCTACTGCTTCTTATGCTTTTAATTTGTTTTAGTTTTCAATCTATAGGAATCAAAGAACTAATGAGTAGAGTGTTCAGAAGTGGTTTATTCTCCATTAGCAAGAATAGATTATTTTTTTTCCCCTCTTTCTGCATTGACAGGCTGGTAAGAAGCATTAGTGTTAGCTGGAGGCATTGGTTTTATATATATGTATATAGAAGTCCACAGAGGAGTCCCATAGACCATGCTAACCATTTATTGATTGTGAAGCTGTTGAGATTTTGTTAAGAACGCAGCAATTTCCTTCAAACCCACCAGCCATGTTTCTAACTGACTTTAGAAGTCTTAGTAGCTTTAAACACGGAGCATGTTCAATAACTAAGATTGGTTCTGTCTTCTGCTTTCCAGAATTCTCCTGGTTCAACTGGTGCCTCCCAGGATCATGTCTGCTCAGCCTGCTCCTCATCCTGTGCTTCCGGGAATCCTACGACAGACTCTATCTCGACGTCGTTGTCTCTGTTTGATAACACAGGACTGCTGACAGGTTGGGAGAGACTGAGTTGATTTTTACAGTCTGCACATCTGCCTGGATTTGCACAGCTAGCCAGAGGGGGGAAAAAAAAAATACAAGATATAATTGTGGCTTTATTAGTGAAGGTGAGGACAGGATGTTTCTTACATTCAAGCCCACTCAATTTGCATTCATTACAGGCAGATGAACGTGCAACTTGAGTGGTCATAAAGATGCCTGAAATGCACAAGAAGAATATATCTGATGTACAGTTTCCAGTGTCTGACCTGGGTTTCTCTATTTGAAGGCTGTTTTGTTCATGTAGCAGTGAGGTGTATGTTAGTGTGAGTGTGTGTGAGAGAGCCAACTCAAGGTAGTATGCACTGGGGTACTGGTAACTTTTGAGTCTTCTATCAGAATAAGAACAATGAATAATCTCAAAAAAAAAAAAAAAAAAAAAAAAGGGAAAGGAGGACAAAAAAGGAGGAAAAATATTTTTTTTTTTTTTTTTTTTTTTTAAAGATCTGTCTTCTAAATTGCCAGTCATTTATATACTGTGTCCATTAAACAGTTAAGCTAAAATAATTTGGTGCTGTACACTACATTTACATTCTAATAAAGTGATTTCTGATATAAGACACTGGTACCAGGGCTTTTAGCCATACTAAATAGCAAAACAATCCTTGCAACATTGCTAGGTGTGTGTTTGTCACTCTGGTGCATGTATAATCCGAATGATAGCTGTAGCTGCCACTGAACGTGAATTGCACAACACTTGCCTCTGAAATACCACCATGGTTCTGTATGGGCACACAGCATCTGTGGTACCTCAGAAGTTTACTGTAGAGTCATTTTTTGGTAAATTTTGCAGTTTTAAAGGCCGCCACTGTTTCACCTCTTCATGCTCCATCTCTAGTACTGCCTTTTGTTCTTTTCTACTGTGAAGACCTGTTCACACCGCTAAGTCCTGTTGGTGTGGATGTGGATTTTAGTCCTGGTTGTTCTCTTCTGATACTCTTAAGATATGCATGTTTTTTTAGGATTAGTTTACAATCGAGGGTGCCTAAGCAATACTGTTTGTTAATCCAAGTCTTTAAAATCACAGTTTCCTAAAATATATTTATAGTTTGCTGGGGCTCCCCGATAGCGAAATGACAATGAGGAAAGTCTCATGAGTTCTGGCATAACACGGAAACATAATGCCAGCTCTTTTTATCAGAACTAATTTGTGGTCATTGTGGCCCTTACTTGAACGTAAATATTGAAGACACTTGGAATAGTTTTTTAACTCAATTTTAAACTTGCTAATAATTTCTTAATTCTATTCTTATATTTCAGTTCATCATCATTTACAATATTCCCTGTATGTGTGTGCTGTGCTTTGTGTTAGGTGTGCGAGTGTGTCTGCATGTTTATATCTATGTATACACAAATATAACTTATATATATCTTATACATATCTTTATAAATATATATATGAGTTGTATAAGAGTATGTGTTTACATAGGTTTATTTTAAATATTCCTGTCTCTGGATGGTAGGAATGCCACTATTTGTAGCTAAACCAGTCACTGCCGTGAATGAAAATACACACGTGGGCTGTCTGTGACATGAATTTTCTTTTCATGGGGTGAATGACTTCCTACTGTAGCTGTTTTATAATACGGAGCGCATGCACGTGTTGGAGGAGGTTGGTGTGCAGAGTTCTGTGTCAATAGAAGTTTGAATCAAACGCCCTTTGCTCCTACGTGGGGCTCTTCTCTGTCTTTCTTGAGTGATACAGACACTGTAAACTCACTCAAATAAAACCTGATCTGAGCACTGCCTTTCAGACATGTATCCATTCATTCTCTTCTCATTTAGCAGAGAGGATACGCCATTAATACCTTCAACTCAGGAGTGTATTTGTGCAGCAAAATAAAGCATGCTGTCTTATGGCAGCTGCTCTTATGTTTTCTGAGCAATGGATGCATTTACTGTAGTAAGTAACAGAAAATTGACTTAGTTCATTGCCTGTACCGACTACTAAATGATCTTTTTTTCCCCTTGCAAGTGGCTCTTTGCAGACAATGGAGCTGACCTATGTAGAGATAACTTAATCAATCTAACCATCATATTCAGAACCACCGGCATCTCCTTTTGTTGTTTTTCAGATGGATGGTATTAACCACCCTGCTTCTTTTTACTACTTTTCAGTGCCTGGAATGGTTTCAGTATCCAGTAGCTGCTGCTACCTATTGTCTTCTGAAAACTAGGATTGCTTGCCAAGAATTTGATTGGAGTTGCATTGTCATGGCAGAATTGCACCCGTGGATGGCTCTTCAGAGCTCTACTTCTGCAATTTACTGTAGCTATATTAAGATGAAAATTGTACCATTCAGGCACTGTCCCAAGTGACAGAGGTTTCTAATCTTTTTGCTGTCCAGACTATTTTGAGGTGGAGGAGCACCTGAGGCAGCGTTCAGACTATAACCTCTTCCTCTTCTGTTCCAGAAAGCAGTGAACAATTCAAAATATTTGTCAGTGCTGCCAGATCCAGACTCTTACTGTCAGGGAGACTGAAGGTCTTGTTTTAAACCTTGTTGAGTGTTCTCCTGATTTGCTGCCAATTACTCACTCTTCTGAACTTTTGTAGAGTTTGTGCATCTATCTTGGGCACTGTAATGTGTGGTCTTAATTACAGCCCTCAGTACCTCTGCACAGAAAACCGAACTGCTGCCCAGAGCTGAGCAGTGCAAAAAGACTCTGTTGGAGACCTGCTGTGCCTGCAGGCCTCAACCTAAATTCCCAGAACATCTAATGGAAATCGGATTGAAATCTGATGGAAATGGAGTGAACGCCAAAGGATGGCACCCGCATGACTTCAAGTTGATGAGTACCCTGTATTCCAGACATGCAGTCTTCAGGTGCTGTGCTCTTATTAGACTAGAAGTCTGGCTTGGAACAGGAGGTGGGGACTGTGAATGTGCTTGCTGAGGGGTCTGATGGTCACCAACAACGGTAAGTCAGGACCAGCATCCTATGGCGGAGCAGTCCATTTTGTGTTAGTAACCCAACTGAAGCTTTGGGATTATTTCTTGGATATTTCTTATTTTTTCTATTTGCTTCTCTTAATGGCCCAGAAGAGCAATTTTACCCAGCAGTGCAGAGCCCCCTAAAATACGCATAACTGTGGACATTTTATTTTGAAAATGCTGGGAAGGAGCACAGCGGTCATTCTCTTCTCTTTAACAGATCTTCATTTCAAGTAGTTATACTCTGGTCTGCTTCTTGTGTTTCTGTTTGCCTTACTAATAACTCTTAATTCGGTTCTGCTGGCTTTTTTATAGCTAGCTTTCATACTGCTAATGGGTTTAGTAGGAGCTGGCTCTGCTTATGCTGCTGTTTACTGTCTCTTTGTTGTTTTTACCCATGAATTTCCTTTTGAATCCATCACTTAGCCGAGTTCCCTCCTGCTCCCCTGTGGCAGTGGCAGTGCAGGGACTGTGGTGAAGAGCTCCCAATTCCTGCACTTGAGAAATCAAACAGATAGGGCTTACGTGTGGTATGGACTTAGGTTCACAGCATCTGCTGGGTTATTCCAAACCATCCGTGGAAGAGGGACGTCTTCACCTTCACATGGGTTGGAAAATCCCATGCTGTGTCTGTAGCTCTGAGGGGACAGGCGGATGTGGGGGGGAGGGGTTTCTGTAGTGCCTTTCAGCATTGCAGTACCTTGTGAGTTGATCAAATCCCCATAGAATGTGAAGTTTTGTGCTGAGAGAGCTATTAATCTCTGGCTTATCCTATAGTAATGCATTGCCTAGACACTAAAATAAATAAACTGGATTGGTATTCATATATTGGCTGTTACTGGGAAGGGAAGTGCTGTTCTGTGTGAGGATTGACTGGAATATGAGCAGGGATTATGTGGTGAGCACAATGGATTTAGCTGTCCTGCACTGCTTTGACAGCAGATTTTTAATTGTTAATCCTTATTTCTTACTTTAGATCACGTTCAAATGTCAATTAACATCTGAAGGGAAAAAAAAAAACAAAACAAAAGCACTCAGGGGTTATTTTATTAGATTTTCTTTGTTGTTGTAATAATGGATTCTGGTAATAATTTGGCAAGATTTGGTTACACCTGTATGGGTCTTGTATCAAGTATATGGATTTGGTGGTAGTGTTGCTGTTCCGAGTGTTCCTAAAGCACCAGGCTATGGCACATGCTTCTGACTGGATGCATGTGGGGCTGCGGTTGTTCCTGCTGTGAAGTTGGTGTCGGAGGCAGCTGAGAGTCTGCTCACTTCACCAGGGATCATCACTTCAGGGCACAGAGCCGGGTTCCGTGAGAGGCAGCAGACGCAGTGAAAATCAGATGTTGTCAATCTGCTTGTAATTTTTACAGTTTGTCTTTGAATGCAGATGAAACTAATAAATAGAGGAGGAAATGTAGTTTGGCCCAAAGTTTTGACAAGCAGCAAAAAGCAAATATTTGCATAGATGCGCTGGCTGCGGCCTTCCATTTGGGATCCTGGTATGTTAGGAGCATCTCGTGCTCAACCGAGTGGTTTGTTGGGCTTGGTCAGGGAGGTCAGTGGGAGAAAGGGATGTGCTGGATGGGCTGCCCTGAGCCCTGTGGCCTTCCGTCCTGAGCTGCACTCCTGCTGCGACCCACTTCACTGCAGTTGGCATGCGTTTTACTTTTGTAATTTTTTAAAATGAGTTAATATAACTTTATTTTAAGGCAAATTCTACTTTTTGTATGTGATATTCTGATGTGAAATACTTTTTATTTTGCAGAAAATAATGTTTAAGCCACCATGTACCTGTCAGCGTAACACGCCCTCTGTATTGTTTAACACTGGAATCTCGCCGTGATGTGCGTGTCTCTTTACATACTGCTTGTTGCACATTAAAGAAGTCACTCAGCTGTGCTGCCATCAGTGTTCATTAATTCATACGGCTCCCCGAGGGAATCACTTATTTCTGCTATAAAATCAATGAAAAGTACTGAAGGTACCGCTGCACAGTGGAGCATCCTCAGTGTGAAGGGCTGAGCCCCATCCCTGGGGGCAGAGATCACCTTCTGGTTCTGGTTTCCTGTCTCAAGATGCTGGGAGCCGTCTGGTTTGCTATTTTGGAAGGGCCACCCTTCATCATCCCTTTGCTCGTGTTTATTCTTCACCTGATTGAAACAAGACCCAACTGGGATCCGTGTTTATGTTCTAGGACTGGCTCTTCAATAACATCCCAGCCACGGACAAGTTTAAAATAGCATCACCTCCTCTCAGTGTCGGGAAGAGCTCTGTCAGCCTTGGTGGTGGGGAGGAGCTGGGCCCAGCTATTCTTAGCAGCAACCTCTTTCCAGCCTATATATGGGAGCTGGAGGCCACACTGCTCCCAGGCGCATTTATTGCCACGGTGCTGCAGCAGTCTGTGCTGGAGGGATCAGGGCCACGGTGTGGCTCAGACATGAGCTGGCATCTGCCATGTGGCCACCCCACAGCATGAGGAGGTCCCAGTCCAAGTGAAGCCAACAGCAATATGAGCATGTAAATGGGGTGCAGCAAAAAGAGAATTTCCGTGAAGAGCCTATGAAAAATTTGTGGTTGCTAAGAAATGTTGAAAGCAGAAAACAATAACGTGGCTGCTGCCAGAGCAATAAGAGCGCATCGGTGCTTTGCCTCTCATGCGCAGCGCTTGCTTGTGACAGTAAATTAAATACTGCAGAGATGGGGATGATTTTCTCCATGGCCACTGATGCTTCACATCACAGAAATATCAAACGGTGCTGCTGGAGGTGGTTCATTACCCGGTGTAGAGAAGCAGAGCACCCTGCAGTTCCCCCAGCAGTGGGCAATGGCTGTGGGCTCTGTGGTTCTCCCCATGTCTGATGACTGGAGGAGGGCACTGCTTGTCCTCACCTCAGTGCTGGGAGTGAGGTGAGGTGGTTGTGGTGGGGCTTTGGTGTTTGGAAGTGGAGTGGGGCAGTCCTGAAAGCTGCCTTGCTGTGATTAACCTGAAGCTTGGCTGCTAAGCAGAGTGCAGTGACAATTCCACATGAGTGAAGTTCTATGAATGAACTAAAGAAAACACATCAAAATGCATTTCAGCTGTTAGCAAAACAGCATTTTTAATGACTCTCCAAAGCCTTTGGTAATTGAGCTATGTGTTTGAGAGCATGCAGTCTTGCACGTACACTGGAGAGGGAGAAGCCCTGGGAACTGTGCAGGAAGGAGTTTGTGGGCTGGGGCCTCTGACCAGAAGTTTGGGATGGACAACATGGGAGCGAGGTCAGATGCAGAACCCCCTGGAGTTCCCATAGTCCTGTAGGCACTGCGAGTGTCATTACAGACCTCTTCGACTGCCACAGCTGTCCCTACAGGAAGCAGAGACAGGACTCAAGGGCCTCTTCAGCGGAGGACACCAGGTTGGTCTGGCACAGTTTGTTGATAATGTCATTTGGCGCTAACACACCTTTACTCACCCATTTTGCAGTGGTTACAAAGCACTCAGCAGAGTTCCCTGTTGGGGGGGGGGAGTGGGGAAGAGGGAAACAGCAAAAGGGATTTATGCAGAGGGACAGGGTGTGTGTGTGGGGGTGATCTTCTACCCCCAGAGCATTTCTGGCAGGGTGCTTGGAGGGCACGTAGAAATGGAGTGCACTGAGCCTTCTGTTTTCTCCTTTGTTGGTGTTCTTCGTGCTCAGCCCCGTGCAGCCCTGTGCTGGGACATTCTACAGCTGCTGCTCCAAGCAAAGCCTCTGCACTGAATGTGGAGCACCCCTGCTTCCTACACTGGTAAGAACTTGAAAACTAAACTGGTACAGCTGGGATGTGGAGTGATGGTGGGAGAGCAAACTGTGCCAGGGCTGCAAGTGAAGCTGTTATGTTAATGAATCAAATTATCACCTAGGAAAAAATGTTGCGGTAGACAGATTTCAAGGAAATTGAAAGTGGGCTCCGACGTGCTGCTTTGCTCTAATTGTGCGCAGAGGTGTCTCGCTACAAAACAAAACCATTCAGAAGTGCCCCCTCTCTGTTTTGGTGCAAACTGGATAAAAAAATCAATCATCTTATTCACAGCAAGTTTATTTTTACTGATCTTGTGCCTCTCAATTACTTTTTAATGGTCTGCATTGAAAAGAAATTCCTGTATGCACACTTGAGAACATGAAAACACCCAAATGATAGCTTATGATTTAGTAGGATTAAAGTATTATGTATGCAGGTGCAGCACGTTTCAGGTTATTAGTAATCCAATCTATTTTTTATGACATTATGGTGTAATTTTCTGTATAAAACTTCAATATAAGTCTCGAGCTGCATCGGAACATAAACTAAAATGTTCCTGACTCTGTCACTTTTCATGGTCTTTACTTTGATTAATAAATGCAAGCAGAGCTATAACATCCCACAGTGAGAGGCCATGATCATCCTTAATCAGAGCGTGTCCCCCCTGATTTCTGGAACCCTTTGCATCTCAGTGCAGGGGATGAGGAGCAGCTGCAGCATGCCCAGCCTGCAACGGCTGCATGCCCTGTTCCCCTTGTCCCCAAGTCTGGTATCTGCACTTGGGGTGAGTTTTGCTCTCGCCCCATTGGGCGCCTCATGCAGAAAGCAGCTCCCCACAGCAGGGAAATAACCCACAAGCACACCAGGTTGTTGTGTTTTATTTCTGAATTATTCTTTACATTGTACAATATATAAAAATACAGAGTACCCCAAAAAAATTCACAGTGTCTAAAGGCAGTGATTACAGTCTAGGTCACCTTTATACTAAAGTACCATCGAGTTCAATTGCATAGGAAGGGTGATGTGCCTCCACTGCAGAGTCCAGCGACACGCTCCAGGTTTTCTGTTTGGGACAAGAGTTCCATTCGTATCTCTCCCCAGCCCTGTCCCCGCTGTGCCCCACCTCCATCACACACTCGGCCCCATCTCACTCTTCACACACCCTGAAGCCTCTGTGTGAGCGGGGCTGCAGCCTCATGGCATTTGTGTTTCTTGCAATGGGTTGGTTTTAAAACAAAGCAGGATGGGGACTCTGGAAAGCCAAATGCTGCTCTTAAACTGTGCATGCACCTCCCATGGCAGGACCGGGTTCGCAGCTGAAGCAGAACAGAAGCAGTGGTCCAAAGGGAGGAATTCAGGGCAAAAGGGTTGAGGCTAGATGACCCCACAAGGACCCCATTCCCCACAAGGGGGTTTGTGGTCGCTTTTGAAGGCGATAGCACAGCACCGAAACCCGTGGGTCTGCTCACCCAGCCCAAACCTGCCCTTGCAGCCTTCTCAGGTTTTCTCCTTACAAGCTGAAAGGGCAGAATCCCCCATATGAGTCCAGTCCTTCCTCAGAAGGGGCACCCAGCCATAGGGTGCTGCCCCCGCACCACAGCCTTGTTTGGAGCCCTCTCTGAAACCAAAAGCCATTGGTTTTCAGGGTTTTTCAACCCTAAATCTTGCATTAAACTTCTTTGTGTCCCTGTAAGGCCAGTCTCATAATGCTGATCAATAACTCAGAAAGCAATTGCTAACTTCTTTAACATGGAAGATGACATTGTTCCAGTTCTAGTAGTTTATGCTTTACTCTAATGGTACATTATTTGTTACTCTACTTGCTATTTTAATTTTCTTTGCACAATTACTCCCTACTTATAATTACAAAAACAACAGAGTGATACACATGAGAGATTCAGGAGGCTTATTCAGAAAATATAAGCAGTAACAAGAATCCTTTCCTCAGTCATTCTTAACCAGAATGATTTAGGGGAGAATCAGCACTCTAACTAGAAAAATCAATTTTCTTTTCAATTAAAAAATTATATTTCATTTACCTCAAAATCATATTTTGTCACCTCCTAATGGAAAGGACACTAGATTTGTACTTTTTTTTTCCTTCAGTTTGTCCCTGTGGCATTTGAATACCAGCACTGCCTTTCTTATTTTAAGTTTCCTCTGCAGGCATTTTGCTATATATATATAGTGTGTATATATTATAAATATATACTGTACCTATCCACTGATAGATGTATACACTATTACAAAAAAAGAGCAAGTTGTTACACAAACTTTACATTTACATTTTATATATATATTTATATATATATAAAACTCTCCCCCCACTACATTTGGTATAAAGAATAAATCAATCTCAGTGGACAGCAATTTCCTTCCCAGGTGGACTCAGCATCAGATTAACATTGGGGGCATCAAATTATCTGCATCAGATGTGCACTCCGTTCCTGCTCTCTGTTGATTTCCAAAAGCAAACTCTGTTATCTGTTTTTCTACAAGTAAGGCATTAAGAACAGTGGTGGTAGCACACTACACGTTCTTTTCCTACACTAGCTCTACAGTTCACGTATTTGGGTGTGGAACATCCCACTATAGGTGTTTCTGCTGAAAGTTGGGCTGTCAGACTAACACTGTCTTTTGTGTTTTGTGTGCTGTATGCCTGAATCCTCCCCAGAACCAATGGCTCCAGACCAACCCTGTGACCACCCAGGGTCTCCTCTTTTCTCAGAAGTGAAAGAAAAAGGAGAGCTGGATGGTTTCATTGGGAAGCAGTGCGTCCCAATTAAGTGCATTTCCAGTGTAGTTCAAGCTGAATTTAGGAACTCTTAAACTCTAGCAGCAATCAGGAGGAGTCCAACCTGCTCAGATACTGCAGATCTAGTGATCAAACTGCTGTACTACTTGGACAGCAAGAATGTCATGTATTTGTATCGTTAACCTGCCACACATTAGAGAGTTCGTAACAAAATGCAACCCTCACATCACATTAACATGGTCCTTAAATAACTGCACCCTCATGCAAACAGTAATTGAGTAATAAGTGCTCTGATTTCTCTCTTTTTCTCTCCTGGCTCTCTCCTGGCTTCTGCATTCTGCTCAAATGGAGCCAACAGACCCTTGCTGTGACTGCCCATTGCATGAGAAGAACTAGGTCCATTTAGAGGGCTGGTAAGAAGGAGCATTTCAATGAAGTGGTAACCATATGCGCTACCCTTAAAGCATCTGTCCTCCAATAGCTGACAAAATATCCACCTTCTGAGCACAATGGCAGTAATGACCTATCTTGGTGAGCTGAACATTTAAGTAACTTCAACTGCTACATGGGAGCTTTCTTTGGGGAAAAAAGCCAAGCATGGAAAAATGCTTAAAGTGAAGGAAAAAAAAAAAAAACATAAAGGAAAAATGGAAAATGAAAAAAAAAATTGCAAGATTTGACTCACTCACATCCCCTAAACTCCAGCTGCAATTCTGTGATGTGCACGATGACGGCAGAATGTGTCGGTGCTGAAAGGGAGGCTCAAAGGTGGCTCAAATTTCACAACAGTGAGCATGACTGTGGGAGCCCCATCTTCTTCCGACTCCTCCACTGGGAGCTGAAGAATTCCAGCCAGGCAGTCCAAAGCAAATGCACTCAGCCCATGGGCCACGTGTTTGTTGGAGTGACTTACAGCCAAGATTTCCAGTGTTTTGTGGGGAGTAGGCAGTTTGATTCCCTCTTTTTCACCTGGTGAAGCTGAAACAGAAGCAAGGTGAGCTGCTGATTCAGAACAGCTGCTGGAAATGATAAGCACCAAGCCTAAGGCATTCTTGAGGCAGTGCAAATAACCCCACTTCATTACAAATATCCTACAGCCTTCAGTCACTGCAAACTGAAGTTAAAAAAAAAAAAAAGAAATTTAAAAGTGGGAGGCTACTTTATGCTTGCCTTCCGGTCAAACAATCGTAACACAGGCTTATAGAGCCATGTTGGCTTTTCCTTGCAGGAAAAGCAATGCACTTGTATGAGCCTTTCTTCATTTCCTACTGGCTACCTGCATGAAAGAGAAGAACACATGGCCCCGGCCAGACCTCCAACAAGCAACTGCAAAGGAACAGCACTGAGAAACTATTGGCTTATGGCAAAATCTGAAAGAAAGCAAAGACAAAACACTCAGTACACAGCTGAGCTGACAGCCATGCGTGGGCATGGCAGTCGTCCGGGTAAGATGCAGACAACACATCCAAGCTCAGGACTACGTGGAGCTCATGCGCATTTCGGGGTGTACTTTTATCTCATGCTTGGTATTGCAACATTCTAAAATCCTTAGCATCAGGAGTTTGTTATAAATATTTAGAAACACTGAATGACAACAGTGGTGGACTTGTTCACGTTGCTAACACGTTTGATGTAATTGTACATTAAGCACCAGCAATAAGTTTCCTTTTTGCCAAACAATTATGTTAGACAAACATCTGGCTGTAAACAACATGGCTTCTGCATTAAAATAATACAGTTCTCATAGACACAGTCACACATGTACACAAAATTACATTTCAAGGCTGTATATATTGTTTAATAACGCTACTGCCCCAATTCACTTCAATAGCTGCAGCAGCAGTTGTTTGTTGGGTTGGTTTTGTTCAGAAAAATTAAGGAAATATTGGCAAACAATGCACATTACTCAGCTGTGTTACTATTTCATAGAGTACTGACTGGAAGACGCTATAAGAATGTGCAGCAGACTTTCTGGGTCACGTCAGACTATGGAAACATTCCTTACAAAACATTCTCCCCTTTAAAGTCAGAATTATTCACTCTTTGAAAAGTATACAAACTAAAAACAGACAATAAAAGAAGAGTAAAAATTAGCCCAAAGCATGGTGATTTCCCACAGAGAAGAGCACGGCCTCCAATGTTGTCTTTCCTTGCGGACACAATCAGGATCAAAGCTAGAACAAAAAGAGTTAACACTGTGTCAGAAGCAAAATGAAAGAATGGAAGAAAAAAAGCCTGTGGCTCTTGTGCGGCAATCATATTTTTTTTCCAGTGATACAAACATCTTTGTTTGCTAGGCACTCCAAGTTCATGTCTCCGATGTTATTCCAACGTTTACTTTCCTCAGTATCTCACTGCCAGTATAATTTCCTTTGAATTAAGACTGGAAACATTCTAGAAAGCTTCTTTGGGTAATGCACTTTATTTGTATGTTGTTTCTTACCAGCTCAATTGCATATTACCAAAGAAGGCGGTGGAGATTATTTCCTGCAGTATGAAAAGATTCTGTTGAAGATACAGGAATGTTGCCCTAGAAAGTTAATTTTTTTTTCTTTTTTCTTTTTTTTTTTTTTTCCTGCAGAAACTGTAAAAAAAAAAAAATCAAAATTAAAAAAGGAAATGAAAAGGAAAACGTTCTTCAAGTTGTTGGCACGACGGAGTCCTGCGTGGTCGGTTCCATGCACTGTGCATCATCTTACGCCCTGTTGCTTCTCTGTTCCAGGAAGGATGCTCCTTGCCCCAGGAGCCACCTCCTGTGTCACTCCACATGCACTCATACTGCTGCGTGGTGGCACAGCCAGCTACTTGACATCAGCCTTGGACAGTGATGCTGATCTTCCAGCCATAAACAGTTGCAGTAGTGAGAGCCATCTCCAACCAAACAGCCACAAAAGCTCTGCAGAATGGTCCTGCCATGTCCTTGTAAGGAGATGTGCTGTTTACAAGAAATACAATTAACCAAAGGAAAAAAAAAGACCCTACTGTACAATATTTACATCTAGAGGCTGGGCCAGTATTTGGTCCACAAAATCAATTAAAAAAATTCATATAGGAAGTGATGTAGTCCTGTAGGATCTGTCCATCATCAGCTGTTGGTAAAGGTCCTTCCAGGAGAGGCCTCCGGTCTGTAGTCATATTTATTCAGTGTACTGGGATAGTAGGTTGTTGTGTACACGTTGGTTTGCTGCAAGGGGTAGAAGTTGGTCCTGTCATCTGGTATCAAGTTGTTCTTGTTAAGTGTCTGTAAAAGAAAAGAGGGAATGACAGGCATGGCCATGGTGTGACGCAGTTACTGCTTTCTACCTGCAGACACCTCCCTCTCACCTGCCTTCTTCAGCATAGCCTCTGCTGCAGCCACCACTGCCTTCCCTCCAGCTGGGAGAGTAAGATGGCCCCTTGAGGTCACTATGGGGCAGTCTGCAGGGACCACAGCTCCTGCCAGGTCTCCTCACTGTGTTCCATCTGTACTCAGCTACTGCTAGGGCCACGACCCAGAGCCCTCTGCAGAGACCCGCAGTCTCCGGATGATGGCATGTTGTCTGAACGTCAACGTCACACAGAACCATGCTGGGCCTACACGACCTTGGTGGTTAATGGTAGTGCTCAATCTAACCTCTTTCAAAGCGCTCACGTTACGGCCTGCAGTTCCCTCTCAAACAACTGCCAAACGGCGGCTTTTTCTCTTTGGCAGAGCAGGTGTGCATTTACCTGATCTCCATCTCCATTGGTAGATATCCAGGTTTGGACCCCCCGATATTAAGTGTGTCACTTCTGTCAGCTACAGTACAAGTAACAAATCATGGTCACTTTTGGAAAAACTAAAATGACTTAAAATACTTCAACAACCATGAAACAAGCGTTGTCAACAGCAGCATAAAAAGAAGAACCAGAAACACCCCTTTAACATAAAAATGTAGAGGGGTTTTTCCCCCTCCCTTCCTCCCTCCTTTGATTTTTGCAAGAATTACTGTTACTTTTCACACCAGCATCCCCCCCTATCCCCAGATTAAAACCCATCGCTATGCCAGGCTTTTCCTAGGGACAAGGATAAAATCCCATTCTGGAAGAAGCAGTGATTGTATGAAGCTTTCTCTTTCATCTTTACAGTCTATAACTTCGGTTGTAGGCATTTCTAACACCATTTCTAACAACATTTTTCAACAAGCTCCTGGCTTCAACTTCTTGTCTCTGACCTATAATGTTCCTATGCACATCCTAAGGTTTGCCATGCAGTACAGTAGGGAACTCACTGCTTTGATTTGAGGGTCAACACAGGCTTTGTTTGCTACAGCATCCTCGTGATCGAGGCACAGCACATTTAGGGAAGGTATGAGCGCATCTCCTGTCTGGAGCAGAGAGATGGAGAGTCAGATGAGGTGCCCAGTCCAGGATCTAATGGCTGTTCTGCTACCCCGGTACTTCTGGGGAAGCCACTGCACCTTAGTTCCACAAACAGCTCACACTCAACCCAGCTCAAGCCCCAGTTTCTATTTAATCAAGCAATTTTACTGCATGGGGAGCAGGAGAGGAGGAGGAAGAAAAGAAGATACCTTCTTCTAATCCAATATCAGTCTCTACAGCTACCATGGGAACTGTGCCTCCCCATTTTATGTAAGATATAAAGAGGAAAGACTTCCCTGTGGCAAAAGTACCCTGATAAAGACACTTTAATTACTGAATAGCTGAAAAACTTCTATGGAACAGGCATTACATGAAACATCTTGTATATGGAAACAGGAGGAGATCCAGCCTCCTCCTGGTCTGACTGGGATCTTTCCGTGCCTGGACCTACAGCACAGCATTTGTAGGAGTTAAGAGAGAATTTGTACAAGCACGTTCAAAATGACAAATACTTTGAAGGAATGAGAATTTTTGCCTTTCAATATGAAAGGAAGAAAAGAAATGTCATGCTTTGCTCCCAGTCACCCAAAGAAATATTAAAATAGTGTAGGCAACAGTCTGCTGGTTTGTGCTGGAGGCTGGCAAACAAGGAAGCCGATTTCAGTTTTCTGTTGCTCTCTATGCTTCCTTGGGAAATTCAATTAACTTCTCTGTGCTTCAGTGTTTTCTGACCCAGCTTGATAAAAATGATTGAGATCGCCTGCAAAAACTCATTTTGCTAAGTACTGTCACTGAGTCTTTGGGGGAACTGCTCTCTGGAAAACAAACAAGTGTTTGTACACGATGTCTAAGAATTCCTATCAGCGTCTCTAGCTCAGGATGCCCACTAAAGGCAGCGTGACCCAATGGCCACGGACCACCACGGCAAGAGGACAGGCTCATCCCCACTGCCACACTCCCTGGGCACACCCAGAGGCGGTCCTGGACTTGCCGGGCTCCCTTTTTGGCAGAGTTAAGACTCAAGGGAGGTCAGAATTACAACCTCTCAAATTTGAGATTTGTTGGCATCAAAATCCTGACCTGGGATGGCACAAACCATCTTGACCTAAAGACAAAAACCTCAGGATTCATCTTTCTTGGCTTTCAACTGGAAAATCTGTGTGAATTCCAACAAGTCCCACGGTGTTTAAGACCAGTCCCTTACAGCAGACTTAGCATTTAATTAATGCTATTTGCATATTTTTTTTTATCTCTTGTCTTACTTTTGTATAACATTTCATTAGGGAAAAAAAAACCCACAACTTTTCCTTTGCTCTTATCGTTTTCCTTCTTGTTTTTTTTTTTTTTTGTTTTTTGTTTTGTTTTATTGAGGGCTTATATCTTTGGGAAATACCTTCTGAAAAGGGTTTAAGAGAATTTATAATGCAATTAGCTGCAAGGAATTTGTCTCTGGAAAAACTGCGGAGGCAGTACAGTCCTAAATCATTGTGATCAATGCGCACTGTCGGCACGTTTCCCTGTACAAACTTATTGTCTGTCTCATTTTAATAAATAAGTGATTAGGTTGACTGGCCCTAGAAATTGCCTGATATTTTGAAGAAGGAAGATTAGGCAGCAGCAAATTATAGAAACGTACACATACTGATGCACGCTCTGTGTGAGAAGAGAAGCTCTGTGGTCACATCTCCCTGTGCGTTTCATTCAGAGCTATCACCCTGGCTCTTGCCCTGCTTGGCCTTACTGTGACAGCACAGAGATGGCCAACAGCTTTCCTTTTGGACAGTATTCCCAGCACTATATAGAATCATAGAATCACCAAGATTGGAAAAGACCTAAAAGATCATCCAGTCCAACCGTTCACCTATTCCCAATGGCTCCTACTAAACCATGTCCCTCAACACAACATCCAGCCTTTCCTTGAACACCCCCAGGCTCGGTGACTCCACCACCTCCCTGGGCAGTCCGTTCCAGTGCCTGACCACCCTTTCTGAAAAGTAATACTTCCTAATGTCCAGCCTGAATCTCCCCTGCCGTAGCTTGAAGCCATTCCCATATGAGATACACCGCCAAGGTCAGAGGCTCCCAACAAGCTGACCTTGCTGGAGTCACTGTGGGATGAAAACACTCAGCTGCACCCACTGGTGCTCCCACCTGTACTTGTCAGTGCCAAAGGGAAAGCTGCCTTTGTAGGGACTTATCTGTGTTGTCAGTAACTAAGCTGACATTCTCAGCTGTATTTTAAACACTGAGAGAAATGGATTTCAGGCTCTCGTTATGGTCCCATCACCTCTTCAAAAGAAAGAAGATTCTGGTTGTTGCAGAACTGAGACCAGAAACTTAGCTACTGTGAAAACCAGTGTGCGGTGGTTAGAAAAAAAGGGTCCATTCAATGAACAACTAGAAACTCACCATGCATCAATCAAACATTTTTACCTGCTTCCATCCTTCCTGGATGAGCCATACCATCACAACATATTTGATATCATTCATTTTTTTCTGGTCTATTCATCACTGTCCTCAATTCAGGAACTTTTTCGCAGAAGATACACCAGCAGCATGCACTAACAGATCCCAATGGATTGTTCAAAAGCAGGCTCAACTTCAGCTTCTCCCATACGACTAACATATGAAAAACTTCCTGTAACCTGGAAGCTCTGCCTTGTCAAACTGGAATTTGAGATGGACCAGGATGGATATAGTTTTAAGAGAATGTAAAACACCAGCAGCTTTCTACATTACGTGTGATCTGTCAACTAATCAAAAGGTCCAATCTTAGTGAATAACATGCCTATGCTGAGCACAGCAGAGAGCTGAGTATTTCAATATTAACAGAAATGCATAAAGAATCACTTAGCACTCTTGCTGTTACATTAGCAATTAGTTAGAACTGAAACACGCTAACAAAAAATTTGTTGCTATCCCCTCACGTGCTGCTCTTCGTCTGGAACTCAAACAGTGACATACACGCACAGGCTGTTTTTCCCACGGTAAAGCCAAGCATTAGATGAGTTAAACTTGATTGCATTGGGCCATATGCATACATTTAATTTTGTTCCGCTTTTACCACTGATATTTTTAGCCAAAGTCATCATTCATATTTTCCATTTGTTGCTTTTTCTCCAGCAAAGCCTTGCCACTACTCCCCCAAATTCTGCCTCTGCTCCAAATCATTGAGTCATAATCCACTGACCTACTTGCTTACATTCTCCCAGATGTATCAAAATATCATCACGTGTAACAGTATGGGACTTTCAGTACTACTCCCATCCTACAGCTGCATGTAAAAGCTGTATAAACATTTCCTACACGCATAAACAGATCAAATGTTTCAATTTTCAATAAACAATCATGAAAAATTCAAAACTTCACTTAGAAGAGATCTCTCCATGCCCAATTAAAAGGAATTCCCTGTTGTTTTCAGCAAGGTAGTGTGAAAAGGAAGCTTCAAAAAGCATCTGATACACATATAACTGATAGCAGAAAAAAAAAAAAAAAGGCTATCTAGTGAATGTAGTTTGCACAGGGTGACAGGCAATGACAAGATTTCCTTAATTTTATCATGCAGACCTCAGTGCTTGCATAGAGCTCCAAATTTCTTTTTTCTGTTTTGGAAGTGTTGTGAGGGAAGAGTCAGTGGGTTTCCCAAAAGTTTTATAGGTTTATCACCAATTACACAGCACCGCAGTCCCCATGAAGTCAGCGGGGCAAAGATTTCTCCCCAGCTCAACAGTTTCCCCACTGTCTTTTGCCAAGTGATATTTCAACTCTTCCACTTCCCACCCATGGCACTTTCCCCTTTAAAAAGGTAAAAAGAAAGAAAAAGTTGGGTGACCTTCTCAGAGAGCTTCAAACCACCCCTTCTAGCTCTTAGCCCCAAGTTTCCATCTTCAAGCTACAATG